AAAACATTCAAATACAAGGAAACAGAATTGGCGAATTGTAAGCCACTGGTCAGAAACAGAATTGGCGAACTGTAAGCCACTGGTCAGAAACAGAATTGGCCAATTGTAAGCCACTGGTCAGAAACAGAATTGGCGAATTGTAAGCGACTGGTCAGAAACAGAATTGGCCAATTGTAAGCCACTGGCCAGAAACAGAATTGGCCAATTGTAAGCCAAGGATCAGGGAAAAAACACCTATGTCCAGAATTGTATTAACAAGTCTAAAGTACGCAGGCATCTTTACCTGAGAGCTGTTTATAATATATTCGTTTACAGCAGCATCAGGGCCACAAGCTTAACCATTTTTTAGTCTAATAATAGCATCTTGAATTTCCAGTGGTGTGAATTCTTTGTCTTAAACATATCATTTGTCTATTTTGAAAGATTCAGGATCAGTCGAGGAGTCATAATCAACATTATTCTCAATTTTGAAATATTCATAGAATGGTGCCAAGAGAGGTAAGTGCGGCCCGTTGCAACTTTTACGAAGAATTTTCCATTTTAACCTAACCGATAATAATTAAGTTTGTAAAGTATTTCTGTGTCGATTATATAAATTACGTAAAGTTCTCTTATATGCTCTACTTGCATTCCATAGACGTTGCTTATTTTCACACGTTATTTATATTATCTATGGAAAGTAGTTTCGGATTGAAAATTCTTAACCCGACCTACTTGACATTGCTCGCCGAACCATACTCTGTGGCGTCGCGTCACATGGGGATAAGGGGTAACATTTTTTAAACCAAAGAACACATGTGCAGCACTAACAAAAATCTTCTTAACATTTCCCTCAATATCTGATAAACATTTCTTGTTAACATCAAAATCACGCATATTCATTTTATCAAGTATTGTATTCACCTCGTCAGTGTTGATTGCGTCTTGAAATTGACATGCTTTCCTGCTGTTCTAGGGTGGTCGGGTAGCCTAGTGGTTGAAGCGTTCGCTCGTCATGCCGAAGACCCGGGTTCGATTCCCAACATGGGTACAATGTGTGAAACCAATTTCTGGTGTCTCCGCCGTTGCTCGAATATTGCTTAAAGCGGCGTAAACCCATACTCACTCACTCATTCACTTCTGTTGTCCCAGGGGCGTTAGTCGCATGGAGGGTTCGTGCACCTGTCAATAGCAGGCTTTGATTGAGAGGCAGTATCGTCCTTACGAGTGTTTATGTTTAATTGTATAGCACTATAAGCATCTGACAGAATAGGATCGAAGTCTTGAACATAGAAATTACAACCGTAATTAAGTGTACCTGCAGTTGCTATAGAATAGTCGATTAAACACCTTTACAAGTACAGTAAACTACGGTTATAACGAACACGCTTATAACGAACTGACGGATATAACGAACTTACTTTATGGTCCCGATTTCTTGCTGTAGTCATGCTGTATATGTACATATAACGAACTACGGTTATAACGAACTAAAATTAGTAGTCCCTTTGAGTTCGTTATAACCGTAGTTTACTGTAGTTTTTCCAAGGTGTTTATCTTCTCAAAATCGTCCATTAATGATGCACTAGGTTTTTTTTTACATAATTCTACGAAAACATAGATCCATGGTTTTTAGCTCTTTCATTATGTTGTGAGTGAGTGAGTATGGTTTTACGCCGCTTTTAGCAATATTCCAGCAATATCACGGCGCGGGACACCAGAAATGGGCTTCACACATTGTACCCTATCGGGAATCGAACCCGGGTCTTCGGCGTGACGAACGAACGCTTTAACCACTAGGCTACCCATTATCTTGTGAGTGTGTTGAGGTGTCTATACCTAGTGATGTAATGTCTTCGGTAACATGTTGGGATATTTAGTGTGATATTGAAAGGAAGAGATGGCGTTCTTTCTATAGAGGCCCGTGAAGATCGGGGTAGAACAGGTCTTCAGCAACCCATGCTTGCCGTAAAAGGCGACTAACGGTATCGGGTGGTCAGGCTCGCTGACTTGGTTGATGCATGTCATTAGTCCCAATTGGGTGGATCGATGCTCATGATATCAATCACTGGATTGTCTGGTCCAAACTCGATTATTTACAGACCATCGTCATATAGCTGGAATATTGCTGAGTGCGGCGTAAAACAACAACCCAACCAACTAACTGGGCTGTGTGAAACATACTTGTTGAGAGTATTCTCCAGGATTGCTACTCCTCCTGACCTTGTGTTAATTGATCTGTTCTTAGTATTGACTGTATAGTTCATTATATCTAAGTCGTCATTGTCATCCAATTTAGTCTCAGCAAGGAGACGTTTTTGATGATTTGATGAACTGGATAAAGGTCAGGATTAATTAGTTTACACATTAAACCACACACATTAATAAATGAGAAAGTTTGTTTGGGATTTATTTGTCTGTTCCTCGGCAGTTGTACCTCGTCTGTTTATGTGGCTGTCTTCTAAGTTTAGCGTTGGTCTGCTTTTGTCAATTGCTGATCACCTATCAGCGCCGATTATCTGATGGCTTCCCTCAGTAAGTTTTCCACCTTTGTTATCTTACTACCTTTGTTGTTCTTACAGGTACATATACATGTTCTCTGCCTCATAGCATTTGTTCACCTGATGAAGGAGTAAGTATATACTCCGAAACGTTGTGTTTCTCCTAATAAAGAAGTTGACATCTTTCTTCTCTTCCGTATTTGTCATGTGTTTTGATGCGTACAGTAATGCCAATATGGTGAGGGTTAGGAAAAGCCTAACGAATGTAAATAAAGCGACAACACCCATTCGTGACCAAATCGTGTTATTCCGGGACAAGCCGAATAGCGACTCGTGCCCCTCTCGTGGCCATTTTTGTGACCGGGTTCCGTCTTAGCGCAAACGGGCATACCTAAAACAATTGTCAACTCGTTGTGTAATGGTTCACACATTTTCCCGATATATTAAATATATTTCAGATGCAATTTAAAGCACATCGGGACATGCGGAATTATACAGTATGACTGAACAGATTTAACTGTGTCTTGGGTGTATTTTTAGATGCAAGACATATGTAAAATCAACAATTATTTCTGAGGGGTTCTTTGATCATACGCGCATTCTAATTGGTTGTCGTATTTTCGCACATAACATTCGTCGATAGGGGGACGAGTCTTCTTACAGGTTACGGAAAGAGGCGAGTGGTGACGAATGCGACAACACCCTTTCCATGTCCAGTAGAAAGCTCTAAAATCAGAGTCGGTTGTACGATTCCGACTTTTGCATGGCATGCGTTTATGGATCACGATCAAATAGTCATGACACCGAGTTTTCGCGAACAGGCGATTGGTTAAAATATACCCTACTTTGTATTCGAACAGACTGGGTGCAATTGATTAAAACGTTGGTGACTTAATCGTTTTGTAATTCTTTTCCCTGTGAGGGTGCAGGGTCAGACTAGCTCAACTCCAGTGAGAATCCTGTGTTCAGACTATGCGCCTGTGATGGCATCGTATACCCATTACGCGGATGGTTGGTCCTGCTTCCTGGCTCCTGCTGTCTGGCTCCTGCTTTCTGGCTCCTGCTTTCCGGCCCTGCTGTTTGGCTCCTTTCTGGCTCCTGCTTTCCGGCCCTGCTGTTTGGCTCCTTTCTGGCTCCTGCTTTCTGGCTCCTTTCAGGCTGCTGTCTGGCTCCTGCTTTCCGGCCCTGCTGTCTGGCTTCTGCTGTCTGGCTCCTGCTATCTGGCTCCTGCTTTCTGGCTCCTTTCAGGCTGCTGTCTGGCTCCTGCTTTCCGGCCCTGCTGTCTGGCATCTGCTGTCTGGCTCCTGCTTTCCGGCCCTGCTATCTGACTCCTGCTGTCTGGCTCTGCTATCTGGCTCCTGCTGTCTGGCTTCTGCTTTCCGGCTCCTGCTTTCTGGCTCCCGCTTTCTGGCTCCCGCTTTCTGGTTCTTCTGTCTGGCTCCTGCTTTCCGGCCCTGCTGTTTGGCTTCTGCTGTCTGGCTCTGCTTTCTGGCTCCTGCTGTCTGACTCTTGTTGTCTGGCTCCTGATTTCTGTCTCCTGCTTTCTGGCCTCTGCTGTCTGGCTCCTACTGTCGGGCTCCTGCTGTCTGGCTTCTGCTATCTGGCTCCTGCTTTCTGGCTTCTGCTGTCTGGCTTCTGTTGTCTGGCATCTGCTGTCTGGCTTCTGCTGTCTGGCATCTGCTGTCTGGCTCCTGCTGTCTGGCTCTGCTTTCCGGCCCTGCTGTCTGGAATCTGCTGTCTGGCTCCTGCTTTCTGGCTCCCGCTTTCTGGTTCTTCTGTCTGGCTCCTGCTTTCCGGCCCTGCTGTTTGGCTTCTTCTGTCTGGCTCTGCTTTCTGGCTCCTGCTGTCTGACTCTTGTTGTCTGGCTCCTGATTTCTGGCTCCTGCTTTCTGGCTCCTGCTTTCTGGCCTCTGCTGTCTGGCTCCTACTGTCGGGCTCCTGCTGTCTGGCTTCTGCTATCTGGCTCCTGCTTTCCGGCCCTGCTGTTTGGCTCCTTTCTGGCTCCTGCTTTCCGGCCCTGCTGTTTGGCTCCTTTCTGGCTCCTGCTTTCTGGCTCCTTTCAGGCTGCTGTCTGGCTCCTGCTTTCCGGCCCTGCTGTCTGGCTTCTGCTGTCTGGCTCCTGCTATCTGGCTCCTGCTTTCTGGCTCCTTTCAGGCTGCTGTCTGGCTCCTGCTTTCCGGCCCTGCTGTCTGGCATCTGCTGTCTGGCTCCTGCTTTCCGGCCCTGCTATCTGGCTCCTGCTGTCTGGCTCTGCTATCTGGCTCCTTTCAGGCTGCTGTCTGGCTCCTGCTTTCCGGCCCTGCTGTCTGGCTTCTGCTTTCCGGCTCCTGCTTTCTGGCTCCCGCTTTCTGGCTCCCGCTTTCTGGTTCTTCTGTCTGGCTCCTGCTTTCCGGCCCTGCTGTTTGGCTTCTGCTGTCTGGCTCTGCTTTCTGGCTCCTGCTGTCTGACTCTTGTTGTCTGGCTCCTGATTTCTGGCTCCTGCTTTCTGGCTCCTGCTTTCTGGCCTCTGCTGTCTGGCTCCTACTGTCGGGCTCCTGCTGCCTGGCTTCTGCTATCTGGCTCCTGCTTTCTGGCTTCTGCTGTCTGGCTTCTGTCGTCTGGCATCTGCTGTCTGGCTTCTGCTGTCTGGCATCTGCTGTCTGGCTCCTGCTGTCTGGCTCTGCTTTCCGGCCCTGCTGTCTGGAATCTGCTGTCTGGCTCCTGCTTTCTGGCTCCCGCTTTCTGGTTCTTCTGTCTGGCTCCTGCTTTCCGGCCCTGCTGTTTGGCTTCTGCTGTCTGGCTCTGCTTTCTGGCTCCTGCTGTCTGACTCTTGTTGTCTGGCTCCTGATTTCTGGCTCCTGCTTTCTGGCTCCTGCTTTCTGGCTCCTGCTTTCTGGCCTCTGCTGTCTGGCTCCTACTGTCGGGCTCCTGCTGTCTGGCTTCTGCTATCTGGCTCCTGCTTTCTGGCTCCTGCTTTCTGGCCTCTGCTGTCTGGCTCCTACTGTCGGGCTCCTGCTGTCTGGCTTCTGCTATCTGGCTCCTGCTTTCTGGCTTCTGCTGTCTGGCTTCTGTTGTCTGGCATCTGCTGTCTGGCTTCTGCTGTCTGGCATCTGCTGTCTGGCTCCTGCTGTCTGGCTCTGCTATCTGGCTCCTGCTGTCTGGCTCTTCTGTCGGGCTCCTGCTGTCTGGCTCCTGCTTTCTGGTTCCTGCTTTCTGGCTTCTGCTGTCTGGCTTCTGTTGTCTGGCATCTGCTGTCTGGCTTCTGCTGTCTGGCTTCTGCTGTCTGGCTCCTACTGTCTGGCTTCTGCTGTCTGGCTCCTGCTGTCTGGCTCCTACTGTCGGGCTCCTGCTGTCTGGCTCCTGCTGTCTGGCTCTTCTGTCTGGCTCCTGCTGTGTGGCTCTGCTTTCTTGCTCCTGCTTCTGGCTCCTGCTGTCTGGTTCTTCTGTCTAGCTCCTGCTGTCTGGCTCCTGCTTTTTGGCTCCTGCTTTCTAGTTCCGGTCTGGCTCCTGTTGTCTGGCTCTGCTTTCTGACTCCTGTATTCTGGCTCTGCTGACCGGCTCTGCTGTGTGGCAGCTGCTGTCTGGCTCTGCTTTCTGGCTCCTGCTGTCTGGCTCTGCTATCTGGCTCCTGCTGTCTGGCTCTTCTGTCTGGCTCCTGCTGTCTGGCTCCTGCTGCCTGGCTCCTGCTTTCTGGCTTCTGCTGTCTGGCTTCTGTTGTCTGGCATCTGCTGTCTGGCTTCTGCTGTCTGGCATCTGCTGTCTGGCTCCTACTGTCGGGCTCCTGCTGTCTGGCTCTTCTGTCTGGCTCCTGCTGTATGGCTCCTACTATCTGGCTCCTGCTGTCTGGCTCTGCTTTTTGGCTCCTGCTTTCTGGCTCCTGCTTTCTAGGTCCTGTCTGGATCCTGCTGTCTGGCACCTGCTGTCTGGCTTCTGCTGTCTGGCTCTGCTATCGGGCTCTGCTGTGTGACAGCTGCTGTCTGGCTCGGCTTTCTGGCTCCAGTTTTCTGGCTCTGCTGACTGGCTCTGCTGTGTGGCAGCTGCTGTCTGGCTCTTCTGTCTGGCTCCTGCTGTGTGGCTCTGCTTTCTTGCTCCTGCTTCTGGCTCCTGCTGTCTGGTTCTTCTGTCTAGCTCCTGCTGTCTGGCTCCTGCTTTTTGGCTCCTGCTTTCTAGTTCCGGTCTGGCTCCTGTTGTCTGGCTCTGCTTTCTGACTCCTGTATTCTGGCTCTGCTGACCGGCTCTGCTGTGTGGCAGCTGCTGTCTGGCTCTGCTTTCTGGCTCCTGCTTTCTGGCTGCTCTCTGGCTCCTGCTTTTTGGCTCCTGCTTTCTCGCTCCTGGTGTCTGGATCATGCTCTCTGGCTCCTGCTGTCTGGCTCCTACTTTCTGTTTCCTACTGTCGGGCTCCTACTGTCGGGCTCCTGCTATCTGGCTCCTGCTGTCTGGCTCCTTCTGTCTGGCTCCTACTTTCTATCTCCTGCTGTCTGGCTCCTTCTGTCTGGCTCCTACTTTCTATCTCCTTCTGTCTGGCTCCTTCTGTCTGGCTCCTACTGTCTGGCTCCTACTGTCTGGCTCCTTCTGTCTGGCTCCTACTGTCTGGCTCCTTCTGTCTGGCTCCTTCTGTCTGGCTCCTTCTGTCTGGCTCCTACTGTCTGGCTCCTGCTGTCTGGCTCCTACTTTCTATCTCCTGCTGTCTGGCTCCTTCTGTCTGGCTCCTACTTTCTATCTCCTGCTGTCTGGCTCCTTCTGCCTGGCTCCTACTTTCTATCTCCTTCTGTCTGGCTCCTTCTGTCTGGCTCCTACTGTCTGGCTCCTACTGTCTGGCTCCTGCTGTCTGGCTCCTTCTGTCTGGCTCCTTCTGTCTGGCTCCTTCTGTCTGGGTCCTACTGTCTGGCTCCTTCTGTCTGGCTCCTTCTGTCTGTCTCCTTCTGTCTGGCTCCTTCTCTCTGGCACCTGCTGTCTGGCTCCTGCTGTCTGGGTCCTACTGTCTGGCTCCTGCTGTCTGGCTCCTTCTGTCTGGCTCCTTCTGTCTGGCTCCTTCTGTCTGGCTCCTACTGTCTGGCTCCTGCTGTGTGGGTCCTACTGTCTGGCTCCTGCTTTCTGGCTCCTACTTTCTGGCTCTTCTTTTTTGCTGGCTCCTGGTTTCTGTCTCCTGCTGTCTAGCACCTGCTGTCTGGCTCCTACTTTCTGTCTCCTGTTGTCTGGCTCCTTCTGTCTGGCTCCTGCTGTCTGGCTCCTGCTGTCGGGCTCCTACAGTCGGGCTCCTGCTGTCTGGCTCCTGCTGTCTGGCTCCTACAGTCGGGCTCCTGCTGTCGGGCTCCTGTTTCTGGCTCCTGCTGTCTGGCTCCTACTGTCTGGCTCCTTCTGTCTGGCTCCTTCTGTCTGGCTCCTTCTGTCTGGCTCCTACTGTCTGGCTCCTGCTGTCTGGCTCCTACTTTCTGTCTCCTGCTGTCTGGCTCCTTCTGTCTGGCTCCTACTGTCTGGCTCCTGCTTTCTGGCTCCTACTTTCTGGCTCTTCTTTTTTGCTGGCTCCTGGTTTCTGTCTCCTGCTGTCTAGCACCTGCTGTGTGGCTCCTACTTTCTGTCTCCTGTTGTCTGGCTCCTTCTGTCTGGCTCCTGCTGTCTGGCTCCTACTTTCTGTCTCCTGTTGTCTGGCTCCTTCTGTCTGGCTCCTGCTGTCTGGCTCCTGCTGTCGGGCTCCTACAGTCGGGCTCCTGCTTCTGGCTCCTACTGTCTGGCTCCTACAGTCGGGCTCCTGCTGTCGGGCTCCTGCTGTCTGGCTCCTGCTGTCTGGCTCCTACTGTCTGGCTCCTGCTGTCTGGCTCCTGCTGTCTGGCTCCTGCTGTCTGGCTCCTACTGTCTGGCTCCTGCTGTCTGGCTCCTTCTGTCTGGCTCCTACTGTCTGGCTCCTGCTTTCTGGCTCCTACTTTCTGGCTCTTCTTTTTTGCTGGCTCCTGGTTTCTGTCTCCTGCTGTCTAGCACCTGCTGTCTGGCTCCTACTTTCTGTCTCCTGTTGTCTGGCTCCTTCTGTCTGGCTCCTGCTGTCTGGCTCCTACTTTCTGTCTCCTGTTGTCTGGCTCCTTCTGTCTGGCTCCTGCTGTCTGGCTCCTGCTGTCGGGCTCCTACAGTCGGGCTCCTGCTTCTGGCTCCTGCTGTGTGGCTCCTACTGTCTGGCTCCTACAGTCGGGCTCCTGCTGTCGGGCTCCTGCTGTCTGGCTCCTGCTGTCTGGCTCCTACTGTCTGGCTCCTTCTGTCTGGCTCCTGCTGTCTGATTCCTACTGTCTGGCTCCTTCTGTCTGGCTCCTTCTGTCTGGCTCCTTCTGTCTGGTTCCTACTGTCTGGCTCCTTCTGTCTGGCTCCTTCTGTCTGGTTCCTACTGTCTGGCTCCTTCTGTCTAGCTCCTGCTGTCTGGCTCCTACTGTCTGGTTCCTACTGTCTGGCTCCTTCTGTCTGGCTCCTACTGTCTGGCTCCTGCTGTCTGGCTCCTGCTGTCTGGCTCCTGCTGTCTGGCTCCTACTGTCTGGTTCCTGCTGTCTGGCTCCTGCTGTCTGGCTTCTGCTGTCTGGCTCCTACTGTCTGGCTCCTACTGTCTGGCTCCTGCTGTCTGGCTCCTGCTGTCTGGGTCCTACTGTCTGGTTCCTGCTGTCTGGTTCCTGCTGCCTGGCTCCTGCTGCCTGGCTCCTGCTGTCTGGCTCTTGTTTTTTGCTGGATCCTGGTTTCTGGCTCTGCTGCCTGGCTGTTCTGCCTGGCTCTGCTGACTTGCTTCTGCTTTCTTACTCCTACGATTGGGCTGCTGTCTGGCTGCTATCTGGCTCCTGCTTACTGGTGAAATCTTGATTACTTAACATGTCCTCGTGACGTGACTGAAATATTGCTAATTCGTCTTTGAACATCATGGCTCCATCACTCCTATTCTTTTTGGTATTTACATATGCAGAATACAATCTTGAATAAACACAGGTACACCGGTAAACATGCTGAACAGAGGGTGCAAGGACAACTACTGTCCACGTCATCTTCAGTGCTACTGGGGAAGATGCAAATGTCCGCTGGGATTAAGTTTCAACCCTGTTGACAACACCTGTGTCAAGCGTAAGTCAAAACTGATGTACAATGACATCTCGTTACTATAACTGAGGTTTTAAAAGTTATGTTTTGTTTCCTTTTCAATAGTCCACAGTTTTGCAAACTGTCGTACCTTTCATAGCAATGAAATAACCACTGTTTAATTTGTTAGAACAATATTCAGCGCCTGTATCTCCTCAGACTTTCCTCAAAAAATGAGACCGCCTCTGTGGTCTAGTGGTAGAGCGTCCGCCCGGAGAGCGGATGGTCCGGGGTTCGATCCCCGGCCGTGTCATACCAAAAGACGTTAAAAGATGGTACTTGTTGTTACCCTGTCTGACGCTCGGCATTAAGGGGCTTAAACAAGGACTGGTCGGATCGGAGTACAGTGGGTGAAGCCTATGTCTGGAGTCCCCCGCCGTGATATTGCTGGAGTATTGCTAGAAGCGGCATAAAACTATATTCACTCACTCACTTTAGGTGTGACAGTTTAATATCCTGCGCGTGACTTAATCAAAGTGATACACGTCAAATCGGGCATGATATAACTAAAGAAATGTTGAAGCGGTGATAACCTCACTCACTCACTCACTCACTCACCAAGATGAGTGAGTGAGTATGGTTTTACGCCGCTTTTAGCAATATCACGGCGGGGACACCAGAAATGGGCTTCACATATTGTACCCGTTTCGGGAATCGAACCCGGGTCTTCGGCGTGACGATCGAACGCTTTAACCACTAGGCTACCCGACCGCCCCTGGCCAAGATGATGTCACCCTCCTTGTTTAAACATGATAATTGTGTTCTATATCATCTTATGCAATATACATGTATACTGATGACTGTTTCAACACTGATTTCTATTTCAAGGCTGTAAAGTGTATGGACGTCGATGGACCGTGTACAAAGGAATATTCATCACATGTAATGTCAGTCACTCATCCTATGTTGCCAGTATGGAGGGCTGTTCTTGGAAATGTTTGATCACGATCTCATTCAAATGCATCAGTTACCAATACAATACCATTGAAAGAACCTGTCAACAATTGTCGTCGGGCTGGCCTGATGGCCCATATGTCTCTAGTAACAGGAAACGGGAGAGTTGGTCCTTTGCAACTAGAAATTGCGCTTGAAGACTGATGTTAACAGTATCTGTACATTTCAACCCTTCCTGCGAAATAGTGTTGAATTAAATAGTGTTGAATCAGCTTCCCAACCATCGTTGGTCTGTATCACCCAACTTGTTCATTTAACGGTTAATATCAGTGAAGACAATAGTTATGTCGTACTAGGTTACCAACTGAATTCATTTCGGTTACTCAGTGGGGGCACGGGTGGCCCAGTCGTCTATGGCGCCGCGATTCGCTGTGTGGAGTTGCGCCCCTTGGGCACGCCAGAAACCTACGATTGTGGGTTCGAATCCTGGTTCGCCCCGATTATGGTACTAGGTTTGTCAGCACCATACCCGTGCTCGTGGGTTTCACCGAAGTGGTAAACGTCTGAGACTTGTATCACTTCGGGCTTTCCTCCCACATTAAGCTGACACGCGGTGATATAACTGGAATACTGTTAAAAGCGGCATTAAACCCAACTCACTCACTCGGTTACTCAGTGAAAAGATTTTATTGTTTTTCTTGATTTATTTTATAATCATTGGAGGATTTGGTATAGGGGTAGCTGTGTCACATGAATATCTCCCAGGGATGTCTTTGGTCATCAGGAGTCACTAAAACGTGCATTGTGATGAATATGACGGACGCTTTTATTAATTATTTCCATTGACGCGGCATTATCAAAATGATTCGATCTACAGAATACAAACGCTATTACATATCAGTGATAATTGTGAAAGTGAGACTTTCATGTTCGTTAGGGCAGCCGGGTAGCCTAGTGGTTAAAGCGTTCGCTCGTCACGCCGAAGACCCGGGTTCGATCCCCGACATGGGTAAAATGTGTGAAGCCCATTTCTGGTGTCCCCCGCCGTGATATTGCTGGAATATTGCTAAAAGCGGCGTGAAACCATACTCACTCACTCATTCATGTTCATGATCGTGATCATGTTGTTAACTATATTTCGGATTTGGGGGAAAGTTGTTCCGCTTCAATTTATTCATGGAAACGTATGCATTTACCAGTATAACCTGTCAAATAATAATATATTGAGCTTTGTTGGATTCTAAAATAAAAATATAAAAGACTCATTTGAGTTTAAGTTTGTTTTTAATGCTGCAACGATGATTATTATACGTGAGTGGCAACATTAGCTAATGATAGACTGTGTTCCGATATTGTATAAGTGCTTACGTTAGTGAATCAGTATATATATATACTATTCAAAAGAAGTTAGGGATCACCTGATTCTTTCATATTACAATAGTTAATCTCTCATGCCATGACAGATTAACTTTACCAATATAAAAGAATCGGGTGATCCTTAACTTCTTTTGAGAAGTATATATATGTGTGTGTGTGTGTGTGTGTGTGTGTGTATGTGTGTGTGTGTGTGTGTGTGTGTGTGTGTCACTTAGTGCCTGCATGAGTATATGCCTCAATGAGTTTGTATATCTTTGGATGTGTACCTACATTAGTTTGTGACATGGTGTCTCAATTAGTGTATGACGACGTGTCTCCATGTAGTCAAGTAATTATAAGGTCCAGGTTCAAAAAATTGACGGAAAAGGTTTAATGCTGGATTGTGGAGCCTTTAGACCTATTCATTAAAACAAAAAATAGTTTACCAAAATCAGACATAGGGAACCATCGGAAAATAGGTCAAATCCAAGATGGCCACCAACAAAAGTAATAATGATCATAAACATGGAACCAATAACAATAGCAACATTTATGATGAGTTTATCGATATTAGCTTGACAGGATAAATACAAAGGAATGTATATTAAACAATTTTGAAAGGAAAATTCACATAGAAAGTTAAAATAATGCCTCGACCAAGTCAGCGAGCCTGTCCACCCGATCTGTTAGTCGCCTTTTACGACAAGCAGAGTCGCCTTTTATGTCAAGCATGGGTTGCTGAAGACCTATTCTACCCCGGAATCTTCACGGGTCACACTTCTATCAACTATTACTATTCGCTGGTGACCCATGTAGATCACAGATGGCTACTTGTGTGCTATGTATGGAACCAGTTAACCTGGACAAACCCCAGTATTATGTGAAGTTGTCAGAAAAAGGCAGCTGTAGCATTAATAATGCAAACAGACTGTGCAAATTAGTACAATTACTGTAGCCTATTGGTACACAGACAGTGTCAAAGTGTGCATATAAATCCAAAGGCAATCAAAGTAGCTAAAAACTCTTCAATCGTATGTTTAAGCCTTAAATGTTAAAACTCAATGTTCTCTATGTGGTACTTGTATTGACCAGGATGCATACAGACATCCAGATAGAAGTGTCCTTCAGTTCAGCTGTGTGATGGATCTTGAGTTCCAGGAGACTACTCAACATATATCTACAACATACTGTGTCAACAGGCAGGATGATTGGGCCAAGATGGTACAGGGTATGGGGCTGACAAACCCAGAAACCTAATCGGGGGGAACCGGGATTCGAACCCACAATCACAGTTTTCTGGCGTGCCCAAGGACCACACAACTCTGCACAGCGAATCACGGCGCCTTTGTCGACTGGGCCACCTGTGTCCCCCATTCGATCAGTAAATAAAGATCTGGAAAGACAGTTACACCTGCACAAAAGGCTACATTGGCAAAATACGCACACTGTCCATTTTTACTGTTTTTATGCAACCCAAAATAACCTGGGTATGGTGATTTATTATCCATATTATGCAAATACACACGTTGTCTGGAGCTCTGAATAGTGTTCTCACCTCAGCACAGAAAACAGAACAAGACATCACTTCATATTCATATGACACTGTTTACTTACAGCATTTATAACCAATGTACATTCATAGAGGCAAAAAATACACTTAACAAGTATGCAAATGCACGCCTTAGGAAACCTGAATACCCAAGTAAAGGTGCCAGAGATGGCAGCATATTTAGTGATGGTAGCCGTGGCAATATTACACAGTTACAGGTGAGGTGAGGTGAGGTGAAATGGGCGCATCCAAGATTATTGCACTTATATAGCGACGTGCATGTACGTGTGTGTGTTTGTGAGGCTGCTTGTACTAGTCCGGACTGATGCCGATTTATAGTGCTAGCTCACTGAGATACCATGTCGCAGTTTAACATGAATACCCCACTCAGACACAGTATACTGACTCCGAGCCGACCAGTCCTTGTTTTAGCCCCTTAATGCCGAGCGCCAGATTAACAACAAGTACCATCTTTTAACGTCTTTTGGTATGACATGGCCGGGGATCAAACCCTGCACCTTCCACTCTCTGGGCGGACGCTCTACCACTAGACCACGGAGGGGGTCGGCAATATTACATAAAAAGTGGGAAGAATTAGAGAAAGATATATACATATATATATAAGGAGTGCAAAGGAATAATAGAAAAGCGGGTGTTGCATTGAATCAGCAATCTGGAACCTTACAGAAAAGAACACTTATGTCATGAATTACTATTATAATTCATTCACAATACCATACACTTTTTCAGAATAAACATTCGCATGACAATATCCTGACAGAACAGAACACAAGAGAGGACATTAACATTAATACAGGATCAAGCTGAATTAAGAAATTCATATGATAAAGTGTAAATGTTGATGACCAGAAGTTAGTGAGTATAGTTTAAAGCCACTTTCAGCAATTTTCCAGCAATATCTCGGTGGAGGACACCAGAAATGGGCTTCACACATTGTACCCATGTGTAGGAATCGAACTCGGGTCTTCCACGTGACGAGCAAAGCCCTCAACAACTAGGCTACTCGACCACCCCAGATGACCAAATGAAACAGCTTAGGTGTGGTTTGGTTAGGTTTGTTGGTTAATATTGCAGCTATATGACAGCGGTCAGTAAAAAAATCGAGTCTGGACCAGATAATCCAGTGATTAATATCATGAGCATTGATCCATGCAATTAGGATCGAGGACATGCATCAACCAAGTCAGCGAGTCTGACCACCCGATCCCGTTAGTCGCCTCTTACGACAAGCATAGTCGCCTTTTAAGGCAAGCATGGGTTGCTGAAGCTCTATTCTACCCCGGATCTTCACAGCTTAGGAAATAATATGTATCGATACAGACTGAAGCATATTGTGTATCATACCATTGACATTAGATCTCTGTGCACCTGTGCATCAATGAGCTATCTAAACTGATACACATTTCAACATTCCTAGGGATGGCTGTACATATTTACAGTGTGTTATCTCATTGACAAAAGCTACAATGAAGCCATTATTAATAATAGTGTCGGTTCAGATAAAACCCAGCCTTGTTGGCAACACACTGGCAAGATTAACCCTTCACCACCTTGCATGATTACAGCAGTCACTGTGATTGTTGTTTAAAGACACACTCAGCAATATTCCAGCTATATAACTACGGCCTGTAAATAATAAAGTCTGCATCAGACCAACCATACGAACAACAATCCATTCCATCAGTGCAAGACGACACACATTAAACCAAGGCACAAAATCTGTTCATTATACCCATACCAGAATCCTCTGGAAGCATAAATAATGTCCCAAGGTTATAATAAGCATCATTGCTCAACATGCTCAAAACGAGATGGGGCTGTGGCTGGTAGGGTAAACCAAATCCAAGTTGCACCACTTTCCTTGTCTGCAAGCTCATGATGTGTGATGTTTGTCACTCTAGCAGTCTATGATTACGGAGTTTCACCCACAGGACAGCAACTTACAATTTTTAGATGTACAATGGGTCTCTTTAAGCAGTGAGTGAGTGAGTGAGTTGGGTTTAACAGTATTCCAGTTATATCACGGCGTGTCAGCTTAATGTGGGAGGAAAGCCTGAAGTGATGCAGGCTTCAGATGTTTACCATTTCAGTGAAACCCACGAGCATGGGTATGGTGCTGACAAACCTAGAAACATAATCAGGGCGAACGGGGATTCGAAACCACATTCATATGTTTCTGGCGTGCCCAAGGGACGCAACTCTGCACAGCGAATAGCGGCGCCTTTGAGCAGTGAACAGATGCTCAAGATGTCAATTACTGGATTATCTGGACCAGACTTAATTATTTACAGACTGGCATCATATAGCTGGAATATTGCGGCATTAAACAACAATCCAACAAAATCCAACGCACTGGCATTCTCAACAGCTCTGCATATGCGCTTTACCAGTCTGATACATTTGTTTCATAACATAGGCGGGTCCAGGGGAGGGTCCAGAGGGTCCATACACCCCACCTTTGAAAATTGTAGTGTGTTGTAGACAATAAAACTGACAGACTGAGAGAGGATTTTGATATTTTGGACCCCTCCCTGTTAAAAATGCAGGATCCGCCCTTGTATTATACATTCAACACACTGGCTTTCTTGTCAGTCCTAGAAATCAGCATTTTCATCAGACCTACATGTGTGTTGTGTGTTATCAGTACTACACAATCACTTATGCATATTCATAAATATTCGATTCTAGTGGCCACGAATAACGAATTCAATTCATGAATGGATACGGTTCGATTCACTGAAAATGCAAGTGAATCGTAACGGCCCAAGTTCTGACAGTCCAACACATCGCTGTTATCACTAATGTCAATCCTGCACATTGGTGTCGCATTATCCTATACATTGGAATTCTCATCGGTCTCAAAGTTAGATTCTGCTGCAGCCGCGGACTTCTTCTTGTTCAGCCTGGCTCCCTTCTTCCTGCTGGGCTCCTCCTTGTTGGCTGTGAGCTGTCTGTGGAGGGAGTGGATATGTTCCAGCTGTGGACGACACACACCCACCTCAACACTTGATGGTAAACTGAGTTATAAACAACCCTGCCCAACTATAGGTCTAACTGAGTTATAGTTCTTGCTCTTGTTGTTTGTTGTTTAATGCCTCACTCAGCAATATTCCAGCTATATGACGGCAGTCTGTAAATAATTGAGTCTGGACCAGACAATCCTGTGAATGACATCATGCACATTGATACAAGCAATTGGGATACGATGACATGCATCAACCAAGCCAGCGAGTCTGACCACCCGATCCTGTTAGTCGCCTCTTAAGACAAGCATAGTCGCATTTTACAGCAAGCATGGGTTGCTAAGACCTATTCTACCCTGGATCTTCATGGGTCTAACTGGGTTACAGACCACCCTACCCAACTATATTTCTTAACTGGGTCATAAAGCACCCTCCACAACTGTAGGTCTTAACTGGGTCATAAACCACCCTGTCCAACTATAGGTCTTAACTGGGTTATAAAGCACCCTACCCAACTATAGGTCTTAACTGGGTCATAAAGCACCCTCCACAACTGTAGGTCTTAACTGGGTCATAAAGCACCCTACACAACTGTAGGTCTTAACTGGGTTATTAAGCACCCTACCCAACTATAGGTCTTAACAGGGTTAAAAAGCACCCTCCACAACTATAGGTCTTAACTGGGTTATAAAGCACCCTCCACAACTGTAGGTCTTAACTGGGTTATAAAGCACCCTACACAACTATAGGTCTTAACTGGGTTATAAAGCACCCTACCCAACTATAGGTCTTAACAGGGTTAAAAAGCACCCTACCCAACTATAGGTCTTAACTGGGTTAAAAAGCACCCTACCCAACTATAGGTCTTAACTGGGTTATAAAGCGCCCTGTCCAACAAAAGGTCTTAACTGGGTTATAAAGCACCCTGTCCAACTATAGGTCATAACTGGGTTATAAACCACCCTACACAAATATAGGTCTTAACTGGGTTATAAAGCACCCTGTCCAACTATAGGTCTTAACTTGGTTATAAAGCACCCTACACAACTATAGGTCTTAATTGGGTTATAAAGCACCCTGTCAAACTATAGGTCATAACTGGGTTATAAACCACACTACACAACTATAGGTCTTAACTGGGTTATAAAGCACCCTACCCAACTATAGATCGCAACTGGGTTATAAAGCACCCTACCTAACTATAGGTCTTAACAAGGGTTATAAAGCACCCTACCTAACTATAGGTATTAACAAGGGTTATAAAGCACCCTACCTAACTATAGGTCTTAACAAGGGTTATAAAGCACCCTACCTAACTATAGGTCTTAACAAGGGTTATAAAGCACCCTACCTAACTATAGGTCTTAACAAGGGTTATAAAGCACCCTACCTAACTATAGGTCTTAACAAGGGTTATAAAGCACCCTACCTAACTATAGGTCTTAACAAGGGTTATAAAGCACCCTACCTAACTATAGGTCTTAACAAGGGTTATAAAGCACCCTACCCAACTATAGGTCTTAACAAGGGTTATAAAGCACCCTACCTAACTATAGGTCTTAACTGGGTTATAAAGCACCCTACCCAACTATAGGTCTTAACAAGGGTTATAAAGCACCCTACCTAACTATAGGTCTTAACAAGGGTTATAATGCACCCTACCTAACTATAGGTCTTAACTGGGTTATAAAGCACCCTACCCAACTATAGGTCTTAACAAGGGTTATAAAGCACCCTACCTAACTATAGGTCTTAACTGGGTTATAAAGCACCCTACCTAACTATAGGTCTTAACTGGGTTATAAAGCACCCTACCTAACTATAGGTCTTAACAAGGGTTATAAAGCACCCTACCTAACTATAGGTCTTAACAAGGGTTATAAAGCACCCTACCCAACTATAGGTCTTAACAAGGGTTATAAAGCACCCTACCTAACTATAGGTCTTAACAAGGGTTATAAAGCACCCTACCTAACTATAGGTCTTAACAAGGGTTATAAAGCACCCTACCTAACTATAGGTCTTAACAAGGGTTATAAAGCACCCTACACAACTATAGGTCTTAACAAGGGTTATAAAGCACCCTACACAACTATAGGTCTTAACAAGGGTTATAAAGCACCCTACACAACTATAGGTCTTAACAAGGGTTATAAAGCACCCTACCCAACTATAGGTCTTAACAAGGGTTATAAAGCACCCTACACAACTATAGGTCTTAACAAGGGTTATAAAGCACCCTACACAACTATAGGTCTTAACAAGGGTTATAAAGCACCCTACCTAACTATAGGTCTTAACAAGGGTTATAAAGCACCCTACACAACTATAGGTCTTAACAAGGGTTATAAAGCACCCTACCTAACTATAGGTCTTAACAAGGGTTATAAAGCACCCTACCTAACTATAGGTCTTAACAAGGGTTATAAAGCACCCTACCTAACTATAGGTCTTAACAAGGGTTATAAAGCACCCTACCTAACTATAGGTCTTAACTGGGTTATAAAGCACCCTACCCAACTATAGGTCTTAACAAGGGTTATAAAGCACCCTACCTAACTATAGGTCTTAACAAGGGTTATAAAGCACCCTACCTAACTATAGGTCTTAACTGGGTTATAAAGCACCCTACCTAACTATAGGTCTTAACAAGGGTTATAAAGCACCCTACCTAACTATAGGTCTTAACAAGGGTTATAAAGCACCCTACCTAACTATAGGTCTTAACAAGGGTTATAAAGCACCCTACCTAACTATAGGTCTTAACAAGGGTTATAAAGCACCCTACCTAACTATAGGTCTTAACTGGGTTATAAAGCACCCTACCTAACTATAGGTCTTATCTAAGAGCCATAAAGGACATGTAAAGGACATATCACATTAGACCGTATTCTAATGAAATATGTGACATGGGTCTTATTATAGTTTTGCATTTGTGGTGGTATGACAATAACCTTGTGTAGTAACATACCAGTTTGGGACTTTTCCTCACAAGCAGCTTCACATCTTCCGGTAACACTGTGCTGCGCTTGGCATGCCTGGAACAACAACATCAGTAATAGCAGCCAGAGGTGAGGTGAGGTGAAATGGGGTTTAATGTTGCATCCAAGATTATTGCACTTATATAGCGGCGTGCATGCACGTGTGTGTGTGGCTGCTTGTACTAGTGTGGCTGCTTGTACTAGTCCAGACTGATGCCGATTTATAGTGCTAGCTCACTGAGATACCATGCCTCAGTTTAACATGAATACCCCACTCAGACACAGTATACTGACTCCGAGCCAACCAGTCCTTGTTTTAGCCCCTTAATGTCGAGCGCCAGACAGGGTAACAACAAGTACCATCTTTTAACATCTTTTGGTATGACACTGCCGGGGATTGAACCCTGAACCTTCCGCTCTCCGGGCGGAAGCTCTACCACTAGACCATGGAGGCGGTCAGTAGCCAGAGTGAGTGAGTCAATGACTTTGGTTTAATAGCGCTAGAAACTAACAGTTTTAGTCCACTAGTTCTTTTATTGATAACATATAACATAGCAAAACCCTTAAAAAGGGAAAATTTCTACTTGTCCTAATGATACCTTAAACTAATGTCAGTTTGGCAAGGACTATAGGACCAGTGCTAGTTTCTAATGCTGGTTCAACACCGCTTCAGACTGTGTATGAATCACAGCATGGCGTGTCAGGTTGATGTTGCAGGAAAGCCTGAAGTGATGCAGGTTTTAGTTGTCAACACCTTGGTGAAACCCAAGAGCCTGTGCAAGGTGCTGACAAACCAGAAAATTTAACCAGGGCGAATCTAGGATTCTAGCCCACAATCATCTGTTTGTCTGTTGTTAAACGCCACACTCAGCAATATTTCAGCTATATGACGGCAGTCTGAAAATAATTGAGTCTTGACCAGACAGTCCAGTGATTGACATCATGAGCATCGATCCACAGAATTGGGATCGATGACATGCATCTACCAAGTCAGCAATTCTGACCACTTGATCCTGTTAGTCGCCTCTTACGACAAGCATAGTTGCCTTTTACGGCAAGCATGGGTTGCTGAAGACCTATTCACAATCATCTGACCATTAGTTTCGGGCATGCCTAAGGAATTCCACTCTGCACAATGAGTTAGGCCGTCGTAGCTAAAGTAGGGCTCCTTCATTCACAGCTCCCAGGGCAGTATACAGACTAAGCTGTCTGTGAGTCGCTGGAAGGTTCGTAGTCGCATTACCATCTGATCCTACCGGGTGCCCATTCACTGCTTGGTGAACAGGGGCATATTTCTGAAGTTCCTTGCCTGAGAGACACCACATGTAACATGTGCTTGAGTGTGGGGTATTACCAAAGCCTCAGAAACTCTCTGGAGTCCAGCTGCTGAACACGGTCACCCATCCACCTCCTCTCCGCAGTCAACGCTGCTGAACTTTGTTTGTTTGTTAGTTTGCTGTTTAACACCGCACTCAGCAATATTCCAGCTATATGACGGTGGTCTGTAAATAATCGAGACTGAACCAGACAATCCAGTTATTGACAATATGAGCATCCATCCACGCAATTGGGATACGATGGCAGCGTTAGAAATTGGCACTAGTCCTGTAGTCCTTACTAAACTGCCCAATGGTAAAGGTATCCTAAGGACTAGTAGAAATTGGCCAATTTTAAGGGTTTTGCTATATATTATCATTATAAGGACTAGTGGACAAAAACTGTTAGTTTCTAACTCTGCGATGGCATGCATCAACCATGTCAGCGAGCCTGACCAGACGATCCCGTTAGTCGCCTCTTATGACAAGCATAGTCGCATCTCACGGCAAGCAAATGTTGCTTGAAGACCTATTCTACCCTGGATCTTCACAGGTCGCTGAACTTTGTCAGATTTGTGACTTTGCTCTACACTCGGGACCATGTGCCACCACAACAGAGATATTTATCATGATAAAGCTGCTGATCACCATTTGTTAACATTCTTATCTAGCGTTTAGGCAAACCAGTGAATGTATCCTGTTTGTTCCCACCTTGCAAACATCTCCAGATCATGAGAGTAGGTCTCAAACTGTCTCCATGTTGTCTCTGCAATGCAGGCCATCACCTGCTTGTTGACGGAGACATTCAGGTCATCCCCAACATCCCGACATATCCTCACCACAGTGTAATGCACTGCCGCCTTCAGCCTCTGAAACACAGGAAGTAACAGAGAATCTCACCACAGTGTAATGCACTGCCGCCTTCAGCCTCTGAAACACAGGAAGTAACAGAGAATCTCACCACAGTGTAATGCACTGCCGCCTTCAGCCTCTGAAACAACAGGAAGTAACAGAGAATCTCACCACAGTGTAATGCACTGCCGCCTTCAGCCTCTGAAACAACAGCAAGAGGTAACAGAGAAACTCATCACTGTCTAACATTCAGTAGCAAACTATCATCAACTTTGTTTGACAATAAAGGCATTCATGTATCTGTATTATTATCATGATTATAAATAATGCAATACAGTAAACCAGGTTAAGCTAGCCGTCCGTCATCTCCCATCTTCCCGAGGCAAGAGAGTTAACTGACATTAAAAGTCCAGTTTCCACCCTTGCCAAACTAGGCTGGTATTATGGAGTCACACTTTGGCTGGACTAACGAGTCTAAGCATAGTCCAATTAAAATCTCGCACCTAAATCGAACACGGTTCGTAAAATGTCGTGTAGATTTCTGTCGATTGCAGGATGTGCAAAGCATCTCGTCTTTTCATGTTTTTAATCAAGGTGCTCACGTGATTTGATGGACTTCGCTATGTAAGACCTGTATTATCACAATATAGATCTTGATAATCGATCAGATGGTTTTGACTGGGCACTGCCATTTTGTTTGAAACAAATGCAAGTGATACGAGAGGTGGAATCTGATTGGTCCATATAAGAGGCTTAGAAGGGACATAACTCGTAATAACCACTGGTGGCGGTGCGATCGAGCCCAGAAATTCCAGCCTAGTTCGGCAAGGGTGGAAATTGGACTTTTAAAGTCAGGTTAACTCTCTTGCCTCGGGAAGATGGTTATCTCCCAACAAAGATCACTATACTCTTCACCATTTCAGCTGAGTATTATTTTCAAGAATCCACTGTTGGAACCATGGGAACAGCACTGGCAATTTCAGGCTTACAAATAAAGTATACAGATTGTCCTGATTCACCTTTTAATGTACCGAAACATGATTAAATTGATTATTCTATATTGGCCTATATCTATTCCCAAAAAGAAAGATAAATTGAATAACTTATGTAATAGCCCGACCGGACACAGTATTAAAGAAGTTGTTATCCATAAAATTCTGTCTACCTTGTCATCAGTCAACTTTTAAGTAATTCCTATCAAACAATTTCGACCTGATAAGGTTTTACAAAGACTAGGCTAGCCTCACATACTAACTTTCAAAAATAAAACATAATTTACCATTCATGCGAGTTAAAAATAAACTCGTAAACTGACACAACATCTTGTCAGTACACATGGTGAATTTCGAACAAACATCCACATAAGTGGACGTGAAAACTCCACCTACAAGTATACCCAAATTTGCTGGTAATTCTTTGCTGTACCTGTTCATAGCTGAGGTCATCCACATTTTCATCTCGGACATTCATTTTCACGAAAAATAATCAAACTAACTTCTCTCAGCTTGTCACGTCAATCAAAAGTGCCCGCCATTAGTTTAGATGATCTGTACGAAAATGTGGACGTGATTTAATGCCGAATTAACATTCCCGTGTGATGATAAATTATTCTACAAATCCACGATTGCTTGACAGAATGTGAGTTTCGTATGATATGAAACAGGGGAGATGCACGTCATTAATCTGAGGTGTGCCGTCCTGTGTTGGCTCTATCAGCTGTGCTAGAACTACAATACTAGAAAGGAGGCGAACGTAAAATCTATTTCACCACTCAAACCTAAATCGCGTCTTAAGGGATGGTGCGGGGCCCACTTGCACAAAGCGATCTTTGCACTAAGATAATCGTAACTGCCATTCTTTGACATTGGCTTGCGTAGCGCTAAGATCGCTTTGTGCAAGTGGGCCCAGGACAGAACTTAGAGAATGCGGGACATCTCTCTGTTTGCAGAATATATGTGTACATTATCAAAATGTTAAAAGTGATTGAATTCCTGCATATATTTATGTATGTTGAATTCGCGAACATTCTTCCGGGTTTACAATAAAAACTGAATACCAATAACAGATGTAACAAGAATTATCAGTACATGTATGTGTTATGGAAACACTCTCAGGAAAGTGCGTTAAAGTTCCCTCAAAATTCTTCCCTTATAGGACATTAAGTCTCTGAAATGAAGTTATCGTTTAATATACTGTACAGAGAATCTCCTCATCCTGAAACAGAAGAAACCTAAACTTGTTAAAGCATGTAGAATAACCAGAATTAACAGTTTGCTTTGGCCATGTTTTATTTTAGGGCCTAGAGACTAGAGACTTTCCCAACCCCATTAACTCAGATCTTGTACTATATGATACTAAATCGGTTTAAACTAACAACAATATAAACAGTCGCTTTATTCTTTTGCACAAGGAACTCTCCTATAATTAATTAACTATTTTTATATTTATATTTTTTAATTAATTAATATATTTTTGTATTTTTTATGCATTTATTTATTTTTTACTTGTTCCTTTTCTATGGTGTATATAACGCTAAGTTATGTATATGTGCTCATATATTTTGTACCTTATGTGTATGCAATTTTAATGTTTTTATAAAGTATTATTCTTGATTTTACGTGTGTTTGAATGTATCACGCGGGCGGTCGGGTAGCCTAGTAGTTAAAGCGTTCGCTCGTCACGCCGAAGACCCGGGTTCGATTCCCGACATGGGTACAAAGTGTGAAGCCCATTTCTGGTGTCCCCCGCCGTGATATTGCTGGAACATTGCTAAAAGCGGCGTAAAACCATACTAACTCACTCATGTATCAAGCTCCGTTGACTTTTATCTTCTTTATGTAGAAATGGTGATCCAAAAAAAAATTATTTATTGCATTTGTATTGTAGTATAAACCACTAAACAAAGCATCTGGTGGTTTTTTTTCATCGCTGGTCCATTTTGACAATAGAAAGTGTGACCGCGTGGAAAATATGTACACTCCTTCGTCCTATTTGGTGATAGTCACGTGCTGATAACAAATTGGCATTCTCTAATATACAAGACAACAAGCGAGAATGTGCATAGGATTTTATCATATGCACAGTTTCTTTTGGAGCTTACCCGTGCAGATCCGTGGTAGAATAGGTCTTCAGAAAAAAAAGGCGACTATATGCTTGTCCTAAGAGGCGACTAACGGGATCGGGTGGTCAGGCTCGCTGACTTGGTTGATGCATGTCATCGTATTCCAATTGTGTAGATCGGATGATGTCAATCACTAGATTGTCTGATCCAGACTCGATCATTCACAGACCGCCGTCATGTAGCTGTAGTATTGCTGAGTGCGGCGTTAAATAACAAACAAAAACAAAACAAACAAACTTTTGGAGCCAATTATATTTTAACTGAAGTGTTCACTCTACCTAATAATATTAAATAATAACAAGCGTTTCTCTTTCACTGTAAACTCGATTTAGTAACAATCGCATGGCATTCATTTCGAATTATATTTAAATTATAATTTATAATAATAAGCTATAATTCACATGAGATGATAAACCCGTTTGTGCAACCGAGGCGAAATTAAAAGTCTAAACGGATTCTAAATATGGTGGAGGGAAAAAGTAACTGTAAGCGCAATAACATTCACCTGTAACACAATCTCCCAAGATAAGTCATAACACTTTTATCAATACGTACATTTAAAAAATGCATTATGTACAGTTACCAAAGTAGTATGTTATAATGACTAGCATGACGAGCCAATTTCCAATAAGAATTGCATAATTTTGACCAAAATATTTCATTTTGACTTAATTCGGACCATTTTGACTGTCTTATATTCGAGAGCATTAACCCGAAAACAACACAGGTATTATCAGTAACATGTGCATTAGCGTGATTCGGCGGAGCCGGTGCTTCAGTCACCACTAGGCTGCTCATTGTTCGTTTCTTTTCCGAGTCCACTTTTCGAAACATTACATCAGTCTCGCGTGTACTTTCGAGAGTTCATTACATCATGGATGCTTACAAGGTATCTACAGCATGTGTATCAAATTGAGGATTTCCATGTTTATTCACAGTGATTTGGCAACAAGGGGCATATGCCATGGACACACTCTCAGTCGATCACATCTGTGACAGCCTTTACTTGAAATGCTTTCAACAATCTAGGAATAACCGCATGTCCTTTACGGCTAGTGAATGTCATTCTCCGAATCAGATTCGTGTTGGAACTTGGAGGTTTAAAGGGAATCATACCTACATTAAGACCTGTGTGTCACGATTATCATTAATATAGTCTTACCGTTAACTGTTGACATCGATTTTGTCTCATGAATGATTGTTTAGGCCTAGTCACGATTTGTGTTTCTGACTCTGTGAAAGCCGGAACCACACATCACATCAGGACCATTCATACAGATTAATTGATCATAGCATGTTGTGAGGATTTGTAAGTTTCTATGTGTGGTATCGGCTGATTCTGAGGGGCCGATGCTGATATACTTATACTGTAAAACAGTTGTGTAACCATGGTGACCCCATTGGTCTGACTGCCGCATTGTGTCTCTTCTTCTAATGTTTTGTTTTGCTTGTTGTTTAACGCCGCACTCAGAAATATTCCAGCTATATGAATGTGGTCTGTAAATAATAGAGTCTGGACCAGACAATCCACTGATTGACATCATGACCATCGATCCATGCAGTTGGAATACGATGACATGCATCAACCAATTCAGCGAGCCCGACAACCCGATCCCGTTTGTCGCCTCTTACGACAAGCATAGTCAAGAATTTGATTGCCAGAATGACGCTGAAAATGTTTTTTTCAGCACAATATATGTGGCTCATGGGTTTTACAAAACCAGTAAACAGCCAAGACCTCACATTGTGTATTACTCTCACATTAATCTGGCATACAGATATAACTGAAAGAGTGTTAAGAGTGGCATAAATCCAAACCACTCACTCATTCAACTGATTCTTAAGTGACCAACATCTAACATGTGCTTTACATTGGCTCTGCTCCAACATTATTCTGATATAATTGAATTACTATTCGAGGTGAATAAGTATATTGCATGGGAGTTCATAGCATTTCATTGGCTAACCAAGCGATTAATTTATTCATTAATGTTTCAATAAAACCTATAGATAAAATAGGCCACACTCACTAGAACACTTCTGTTTCCTGATTTGAAATTGTTTATAATAGATAGGGCATGGCTTGTGTTGCGTTATTGTATTTTTTATTGTCAATTTTATACCCTTGACCTAAAAGGTCGGGGGTATTTAGTTATACCAAGGTTCCGTCCATCAGAAAACTTTGTCCGCGCGATTTCTCTTAAACTTTCAGTGGATTCATCTCAAACTTAGTACATATAATATGTGTCATATGGAAGGGTGCAGTCAAAAGAAACAAATTGTTTTTATTGATTTTCTATTATTTATAAATTTTTCAAACCCTAAGTAACCCTATCCATTATTTAATTTGAAACTACTGACACAGTAGTCGGGTCAGGGGTATTGGTGGTCCATGCTCACTTTTGCCCTTGTTATGTTTATACCTCCATCAGCACAAACTCTATTGAAGTCTAATTGTAATTAAGCCCAACTTACTCACTGAGTCACTCAGTGTCATGGACCTGTGAAGATTCCGGGGTAGAATAGGTCTTCAGCAACCTATGCTTGCTGTAAAAGGTGACTATGCTTGTCGTAAAAGGCGACTAACGGGATCGGGTGGTCAGGCTCGCTGACTTGGTTGATGCATGTCATCAATCCCAATTCTGTGGATCGATGCTCATGATATTAATCACGGGATTGTCTGGTCCAGACTCGATTATTTACAGACCGCCTTCATATAGCTACATGCTGAGTGCGGCATTAAACAACAAACCAACCAACCAACTCAGTGTGATGTACTCAATAGGTAATATTTTAGTTTTTTGATTGTTGTCTTTGCTTTCACAGGTTGAAACCTGACAAACCATTGTAAACCAACCACAGAGATACTTTGGATGCTAACTATAACTGCGTCAATGGTTTCCGGAGAGTAGAAATGTCTGGAGTAGTACGTAGAATGGAAGAAGTCGATCAGAGGGGGCAGGGGGACATTGGGGGGAGTGCTAGGAACATGGGAAACGGAGGACACAACCAGCGCTCACATTTACAGTTCTTTGGTCAAGCCAAGAAACAGATCAATGACATCTTCAAAGAGATTGGAGAATATGTTCAAGAGACCGACAAGTTTGTTGATGGTAAGACAGTTACTGACTACGTTTAAGACAATTAATGGTCATCATTGGCTTAATAAGATTGAGGAAGTTTGAAATATGTATGTTAGCTTCAGTCATGTTAAGCCCAGTGCTGATTATAATGACTTTGTGTTTTAATTTATGGAATATCAAGTTATTGTATTGTACATAGTCTGTTCACTTGAAGTTAATTATTTTTTCTACGTCATTACATGACACTGGAAAACGTGCATACATGCTGCTTTTGCAATGACAAGCGTAATGATGTGTTCATTAAGGGATGAAATAGGATGGTACCAGCAGAATTAAATTGAATTGAACATGCTAAATATCCTAGGGGAGGCGATCGGGTAGCCTAGTGGTTAAAGCATTTGCTAGTCACACCGAAGACCTGGGTTCGATTCCCCGACATGGGTACAATGTGTGAAGCCCATTTCAGGTGTACACCGCCGTGGTGATGTTGCTGGAATATTGCTAAAAGCGGCATAAAAACATACTCAATCACTCACTCACTAAATATCCTGAATATTTGACGTCTTCAGAGATTGGTACCAGCTCACAAGAGATTCTGCCAGCAGATGTTAGTGCAAAGGTCAAGGGCTATAAGGACAAAGTTCAAGGCATCCGGGAAGTCATCCAGAGGAAACACATGAAAGTTGCCTTTTTTGGAAGGTGGGTGGTGTTCCCTCTGCAGCATGTCTATAGCGCCATGCGACCGCCTCCGTGGTCTAGTGGTAAGGCATCCGCCCGGAGAGTGGAAGGTCCGTGGTTCGATCCCCGACCACGTCAAAAGACATTAAAAGATGGTACTTGTTGTTACCCTGTCTGGCACTCGGCATTAAGGGGCTAAAACAAGGACTGGTCGGCTCGGCTCGGAGTCAGTATACCGTGTCTGAGTGGTGTATTCATGTTAAACAGCGGCATGGTATCTCAGTGAGCTAGCACTATAAATCAGCATCAGTCCGGCCTAGTATAAGCAGCCACACACACACAAACATGTGCATGCACGTCGCTATATAAGGGCAATAATCTTGGACACGACGTTAAACCCCATTTCACCTCACCTCACCAGAACACCTGTTATAACAGTCCCTAAGGGAGGCAGTGTTTACCAGGAAGTAGACACACTTCAATATTACCAGATAAAACAACACTGTGATTATCTCATTGTGACCACGCAACAGGAGAATTGAAATGAGTGACTGTTGTTTTATGCTGTAGAGTGAAATGTACGTGATATTTGACATGTGTCCGCTATATCACATGAGTTAGTTTGTAAATCATTCAGGGTGATCAAGGGAGATAACTCCTTCTTCGTTTTTTCTGGTGATTGCAAAGATGAGTTACCGTATTCGACATAATAAGCTCTGTAATTTTAAGTTTAAGATTCTTTTCCAAATACAAGGATTTTCTAGATTGGTTCTGGCCTTCAATTTGGAGCTAATGTCAGAAAAAAAATCTGAATCTGCAATTATCCAAGTGGTCACTTCAATATTGTTATGACTAATGTCATGGCCTTATACTCTTTGACAAGAGGTTACAGATACTGCACTGATAATGGGACAACAATTTAGACGAGGCTTTAATGCCTGGTTTACATTATTGCATGGAATGCAGTGATTTTAATTTTTGAAACTAAGAACTTTAATAAAATCCCAATTTTGAACAAAATAATATTTCTTCCCCAAATTTGTGCCTGACAAGGACACTTAGTTAGGAATCCCAGATAAATACCTGGATATACTCAGCACAAGTTATAACTTTTAGATTATTAGTCAAAGGTGATATATCTTATGTACTTGTCCTCGGGTGTCTCAGACCGCCTCCGTGGCCTTCCCGGAGAGCGGAAGGGCCAGGGGTTCGATCCCTGGCCGCGTCATACCAAAAGACGTGAAAAGACGGTACTTGTTGTTACCCTGTCTGGCGCTCAGCATTAAGGGGCTAAAACAAGGACTGGTCGGCTCTGAGTCAGTATACTGTGTCTGAGTGGTGTATTCATTTTAAACTGCGGCATGGTATCTCAGTGAGCTAGCACTATAAATCGGCATCAGTCCGGCCTAGTACAAGCAGCCACACACACGTGCATGCACGTCGCTATATAAGTGCAATAATCTTGGACGCGACGTTAAACCCAATTTCACCTCACCTCGGGTGTCTCATCTTGTATACGGGTGAGACCGGGCCACTGATCCGTAGTATGAGAGGAGGGACTGCTGGTAGTTGATTGTATCTTCCACCCTGCAATATCTTCCTATGTCTACACCCTGTCTGGTTTGTTTTCCGATGCAAGTTTCTTTTGCTGATGAGTATACCTAACCAAGATAAGGTTTGAAATCATTGTGGGTTTTGTCTGCAGAACTTCCAATGGGAAGAGCACCGTCATCAACGCCATGTTGCGCGACAAGATTATGCCGAGCGGCATCGGCCACACCACACACTGCTTCATCCAGGTGGAAGGGTCCGACTCCACGGAAGCCTGTCTCCTCACTGAGGAGTCCGACCAACCCAAGAACCTCGGGGTAAGGCTCATCACAAGGAACAACTCTCGGATCACACAATAACATTGTTTGATAAGAGCAGGGATTCAAGCATATTATCTCTGATTACCCCAAGAACCTCGGGGTAAGCCTCATCACAAGGAACAACTCTCGGATCACACAATAACATTGTTTGATAAGAGCAGGGATTCAAACACATTATCACTGATTACCCCAAGAACCTCGGGGTAAGCCTCATCACAAGGAACAACCCTCGGATCACACAATAACATTGTTTGATAAGAGCAGGGATTCAAACACATTATCACTGATTACCCCAAGAACCTCGGGGTAAGCCTCATCACAAGGAACAACTCTCGGATCACACAATAACATTGTTTGATAAGAGCAGGGATTCAAACACATTATCACTGATTACCCCAAGAACCTCGGGGTAAGCCTCATCACAAGGAACAACTCACGGCTCACACAATAACATTGTTTGATAAGAGCAGGGATTCAAACACATTATCACTGATTACCCCAAGAACCTCGGGGTAAGGCTCATTACAAGGAACAACTCTCAGCTCACACAATAACATTGTTTGATAAGAGCAGGGATTCAAACACATTATAACTGATTACGATAAATCTGGAAAGTTTTGCGGCAAAATTTCTGCGATTTGCTGGAAAAAGCCTTAAGTTAACTGCATCTGGAAAGTTTTGCGACACCCTGTTAAGATTACCACATATCAAAGCTATGTTTTCAGGTGTTACATCTGATAAGTTGGAAGCGGCATGTTGAAATGGTAGCACAGTGTCAGTAAGGGATTTTAGATGCGTGTTTTGTTGTAGTTGACAAGAGGGGTAGGGGTAACATGTTTTTCTAACAGAAAAACCAGCTGGCGTATGTCTGAACTACTCAGTGAATTCAGAGCTCCAGATAAGCTGCGTATCTGCATAAAATATGCATCAGAAATGCAAAAATACGCAGTAAAATAAAATCCAAGCCTATCAAATACGCAATGAATATTGCAATGCATTCCATCAACCTTGCCAAACTCCACGATGACAGTTACATCATGATCATTTCCCATCACACTTTCTTGTCCTATAAAGCTCTCGAACCCACACGACACCAGTTTGCAGGGACTAGATGAATAGTGTTTTTAAATATTTAACTTAAATACCACATGTGTAAAAACTAGTGGGTAACAGAAATTTGAATACCCAGATAGAATAACTGATACCCAATGATTTTAAAATGCATGGGTAAAATACCCACAACACCAAAAGCTTATCTGGAGCTCTGGAACTTGACGAGATGTGGCAGGTTAGTGAACTTGGGCTAGTTAGACTGCTGACACTAGGTGACAATGTATAATTAGGGAAACACAGGATGTGTGGGATTATTTCCTTAATCATGTACTGGCTGTTTTGACAATGTGGGTAAGTGGATTCAAGAAATATGCTTCCTTACGTATTTTGTTTTTTGTTGATCTACAAAAGTAACTACGTAATTAATTTTTCGAGTTTGTGTCCCTTGCAGTTTTCGCAGTACTTTCCTGCCTGCAAAACTTTCCAGATTTACAGTGTGTAGTCCTAAAAACATTGTTGTCTCTTTGGTTGGTAAAATTCATGTGTTTATCCCTAGCAAGACAAACCCCTAAATTAAAAGAACAATCTTTCATTACATCATGCTAATAAGACCAGACAGCTTAGGTTGTGTGCTTCTCTGGAGACTGAGGGGCGGTCGGGTAGCCTAGTGGTTAAAGCGTTCGCTCGTCACGCCGAAGACCCGGGTTCGATTCCCGACATGGGTACAATGTGTGAAGCCCATTTCTGGTGTCCCCTGCCGTGATATTGCTGGAATATTGCTAAAAGCGGCGTAAAACCTTACTCACTCACTCACTCTAGAGACTGAATGCAAAAGCTGTTGATGGAGGTAGTATTGTAAGTGTCATGGGCATCAATCTCATTAAAATCAGATCTTAGTTCTCGCTATCAATGAACAAAGATCTGAGGACATCCCATTACGGGTCACGTCAGAAAGACCTTTCATCCAACCAATCAGAACGTTGTTACCAGATCATGAAAGTGACAGACGGAATTTGTTTTCTAATCGTGCATCCTTGAAATATTTAACAGAGGGTATTCTGAACGACAGTTACACATTTTATGATGATATCCATACAATCTAGGCCATATAAGCCATTCCAGAATGTTCTTTTTAACAGTTTTAATTTTATTAATTGAGAATACGTCAAAATATGTTTCGAACCGTAGTCGCCAGAAACTAGCGTCGTAAAGCTCGAGGAAGCTGCCTTCTGATTGGCTAATGTCGATTTCTTGTCAGTCATTTCATTGATCGGTCAAGTTCGTGAAAGGTCGTTCTGACTTGACCCGTAATGGGATGTTCTCAGATCTTTGTTTAGCGGAAGCAAAAACTAAGATCTGATTTTAATGCATATGTTGTTAGTACAAAACTAACACTCAATGCCTCATCCTCCTCCTGCAACATTTCCCGTGGTGACCCGGGATAGAATGTCATTGAATAGTACTCTTGGTTTTGTCATGTTAACCTTTGCGTGTATTTGCCCTTCTGTGCCAGCCTGATATGGGTGTGATTCCTTGCAGTCAATCAAACAGTTGGCCCACAACCTGAGCGATCAGAGACTCAAGTCTAACTCTCTCATCCGGATCCTGTGGCCCAAGGACAAGTGTCGCCTACTGAGGGAGGATGTCGTGTTTGTAGACAGGTAAGTCAGAACTATCAGTAAGAATTAAAAGGACTCCATGCTGGTAGGGGTGAAAAGATACAGCAAGGTCACGATACGATACATGGTCACGATACGATACATAGGTCACGATATGTATCACGATACGCATGTTTACATCAAATCACATGAAAACTTTAAATATTTCAGAGCAGGTTGGAAAGGAAAAGCTAGTAATAGATTCATGTTTGTAGCATCTATTTTAGTAGTGAACTTGAAAAGTTAATTACGACACATGTTGCAATACTTGACTTACAAATGCATTGGGGTGTGGGTGGAGGTCAGTAAACAAGTAGTAAGTTAGCAACTTGTATCAATACAGAATTAACGTATCATGTATTGCATCGTTGCATGAAAACTCACGATGCACTGGTGCACGGTTGAATCGTTTCATCCCTATATGCTCAGCATTGCTGGCCATAAAGATTCTAATATTGAGGATTGGATGGTCACAGTTTGGGTATTGTCTGGTTTTATGTCATTATACCCTGGTGGCATGGGGCGTTGATGTTACTATCAATCACATATTTACCTGGAACAGACACCATTGTTTGCAGGGTGGAATATTTCTGACTGCAGTGTCAATTTACATTCACGCATTGTCATTGTAGACAGTGAGCAAGCATTGACTTCTTGTGCTCTAGGGCTCTATTTAATTACCCACATGGGTACAATGTGTGAAGCCCATTCTGGGGTCCCGTGCCTAAGAATTTGCTGGCATATTGCTAAAAGCATCATAAAACTATACTCGCTCATGTTCTCTTTGGACATTATGTGATTTGATGGTTATGGGTCATCCGGGATCAAGTTAGTGCTGTTTGTGGTTGTGTTGGGTGGTTGATTTGTTGCTTAACACCACACTCAGCAATATTCCAGCTATATGACGATGGTCTGTAAATAATCGAGTCTGGACCAGACAATCCAGTGATTAATATCATGAGCATCGATCCACGCAATTGGGATACGATGACATGCATCAACCAAGTCAGCGAGCCTGACCACCCGATCAAGTTAGTCGCCTTTTTACAGCAAGCATAGTCACCTTTTACCGCAAGCATGGGTTGCTGAAGATCTATTCTATCCCGGATCTTCACGGGTCTGACATTCATTCCCGGGAGATATTTTTAAATAAAGTTTTTACCATCACACATTGATGCCCTGGTTCGTTTCAGCCCCGGCATTGACGTAGACCCTGACCTTGACTCTTGGATCGACCAGTTCTGTCTGGATGCTGATGTGTTTGTCCTGGTGGCCAATGCAGAGTCGACTCTGATGCAGACAGTGAGTACCCAACACAGGCACAGAGTGTCATCATCCGATGTATCAATGCATTGAGTTAACACTATAGGGCTGGGATGGGTAACTTGGGTACCGGGGTCAGGTGGGTACTGAGTAGGACCCGGATACCCACAGGACTACCTGGACCCGTGATTGTTTAATGACCAAAATTATCTAGAACTCTATGGTTACACTACAAGTCACTAATGTTCGCATTTCTTTCTGACTATGCACCCATTCCTTCTGATTTTTCATATGGTTGAATAAAGATATAACTTAATTAAACTTCATGTTCAGTGTATGAATGGCCAGATTGTTTAATACATGTATGACTGGAAGGTAATTTAAGGTACCGACGTTTACTACAATATCTGAAAAACTATTGGACCTACTCCAGTCAAAGTTGGTATGAGATTATTAAACAGTCATACATAACTGGATATTACATTTTAAGACAATCGGTGCATGAATAAAAAATCTGTCTATTCAGGTATCACTATATTTCATCAACAACCAGACCTGTTCGTCACGGGCGGAATGAGCATTCATTGAAACAGCCATCTGCATAATGCTACCCCTGCATCACAGGGCCATATGACACAGTTGAACCAATAAACTTAACTCGAAAGGGAGCACGGGAATCACGCACGTTTAGACGCCCAAAGCTAACACCGTTAGCACGCTCACAACAACCAGTAGTCATGCTTCTTAGCTGGTCCACATGGAGAATTTCATGCAAAATATTTGCAAACTAAGTAATGCGATACATACTTAATTATTGAGATATGCATCAAGAGGTGCGGAAGGCGTCACATCACCCTGGGCCTCAATAGGGTTTTTACCTGACAGTGTGCCAATTAAGTTTTTAAGCCCCTTAGAGATTCAACATATAATCAAACCACAGGTTTCTTGTCTAGGGAAGGATGCCTTTTCTCCCTGATCAAAGATATTAATCCACTGTGCCATTGGTTCTCTAATACAAGGAGTTTCAAAGTCATGGGGGGGCGGTCGTGTAGCCTAGTTGTTAAAGCGTTCACTCGTCACACCGAGGACCCCGGTTCTATTACAGACATGGGTACAATGTGTGAAGCCCATTTCTGGTTCCCCCGACGTGATATAGCTGGAATATTGCTAAAAGTGGCGTAAAACCGTACTCACTCACACACTCACTCATGAACTCACTCACTCATGAAATGTTGTCCAGATCTGTGTACACCCTCATAACCACATGTCGACCTGTGTGTCTTGCAGGAGAAGAACTTCTTCCACAAAGTGAGCTCTCGTCTTTCGAAGCCCAACATCTTTGTGCTACAGAACCGCTGGGATGTGTCGGCCATGGAGGAGGACGTGGAGGATGTAAGTTCAGAATGTCAGGGAGGTCGGGGAGGTCAGGGAGGTCAGGGAGGTCGGGCACGGTGGCCATCTTGTTTCTTGAATGAAGCTAATCAATCAAAATTCATCACATTTCAGCTTCATTAACAGATGTAACAAGAAGATACATGCTTATGAAGAATGTCTTAATAAAACATTATGCCTATTCTTGTTTTGTTCTTTTTGCTATTTCACCATGAATAGAACGTTATTCAAGTAATGCAGCTTCTTTAAATTACTGGGGTATGACAAAAATGGCTGCTTTTTACATTTCTTAAAATAGACATATCTCAAAGGTATTTGACAGAAATACAAAAGGAAAAGTATTTTTTATACACTTTTACATAAACTAAAAGTAGCTATATAAACCTGTATAAGGTAGTGTATGTACAAAACTAGTCTGACCTCCCTAAGAATATTCACATCACATAGCCAATAGATGCAGCTTGATTTACTGCTGTGATTTACCCCAATTCAGTATATGGAGAACTTTACTTGTTTGGAATACTGTGTTATATGATTAAATTGTTTGTTATAATTTGACTAATCAACTTACACTTACCCTGATTTTATTGAATATTGGGATACATTTTCAACCTCTTGTCTTTGTTCAGGGAAGCCTCTTGACTGCAAACATTAACTTGTGATAGTGACATCCTCTCAAAAGGCTTAAGGGGGCACGGGCACGATTTGCTGTGCAGATTTGCGTCCCTTGGGCATGCCAGAAACCTATGATTGTGGGTCCAAATCCCGGTTCGCCGCAATAATGTTTCTAGGTTTGTCAGCACCATACCCATGCTCGTGGGTTTCACCGAAGTGGTAAACGTCTGAGACCTGCATCACTTCAGGATTTCCTCCCACATTAAGCTGATAGCCATGATATAACTGGAATATTGTTAAAACTGCATTAAACCAAATTCACTCACTCACTCACTCCACTACAATATCAGATACCGTATTTGACGAAATAAGCGCCCCACTCTAATAAGCGCCCATGGCGATATTTGCTAATATATTGGTTAGTGAACAATCTCAATCAGCACCCCTTCCGATTGATGAATGTACACAAGACTTATTTATTTACGTATAATACGCACTCGTGTGTTATATGCACCCTTAATTATGGGCAATTAAATTCTGTAAAAATATATTTGTCGTGCATAAACATTTCAGGCTGTCAGCATAAACCACGAAATTTATCTTTCAACTCTGATTTTTTTCACCAAAAAAAATTTTCTAATAAGAACCCCCTATTTCTAATTTTGAGAGCACCCTGGGGGCTTATTACGGTACTAATACGGTACTATTCGTATGACATCACTTACAAACAATTGGTCTCCTTATCAAATATTGAGTGGTATATAAATGTGCTGGCCAGTGTTAGCAGGATCAGAAAATGGCTTGAAATGCTCACTCATCATGACATTTAGGAATAGGATATTCTGTCCCTGCCCATGTAAAACCTAATACATCATCAGGCCTGTTAAAAATACAATACAAAACTCAGGCCTTCGATTGTTGCCCATACTAGCAAGCACTGGTTTGCTTGGCCCAGTGTTGATTATAACTTCTGCCACGAAGTGGAAGTGGGATTAGGAATGGGTGCCGTCCGTCCGTCCGTCCTTCTGTCATGTTTCCTTTCCAGAGTAGAACCAGAGATACCTTAATCAAACTTGGCACTTAGATAGATCTAGTAATGAACTGGTGCCTTTTGATAGTTTGGGATCTTTGAAAAATAAAATATTTTACGAGTTTCCATGGCAACGACTTTGACTTTAACTGAAAATGGTAGTGCTCCTATCCTGGGCAGAACTTAAAAAATGTTCAATATTTCTTCACCAACCTCGGCACATAGATAGGTCTAGTTGTAATCTGGTGCCTTTTTATTGTGTTGGATTTTTTAAAAATGTATTTTTCGAGTTTCCATAGCAACAACTTTGACTTAGACTGAAAACGGCGGGTAGGGCGCGTTTCCGGAGCAGATCTTGAAAAAGTTCAATATTTCTTGCCTTGCACATAACCAGACATATCATATTAGGGGGAGATATGAGTATTTCATGCTTGTTTCTGGTCTGTCACATTTCTGACCACCTGCCTCTGTTGCAGGTGAGGAAGCAGCACATGGAGAGGAACATTGAGTTCTTTGTGGATGAGCTGAAGGTGGTGGACAAGAAGACGGCCGAGGACCGAGTGTTCTTCGTGTCAGCTCGTGAGGCCCTAGCCTCCAGGCTGCACCAGGACAAGGGAACACCCACCCCAAGTGAGCTGTTGAGAGTAGCCACTACACTGACACCCTGTTAATCCATAACCCCCCCCTTCTGGACGATGACTGATCGGATCAGTAGCTTTTGGTGTAACAGGGTTTCACTGTACCTGATCTTGTGAAAAACTTAACTTTGTCCTTAATTTCTTGTTAAGCAATCACTGATGGAAAGAGACCTGTGAAGATCCGGGGTAGAATTGGTCTTCAGCAACCCATGCTTGCCGTAAATAGCGACTATGCTTGTCGTAAGAGGCAACTAATGGGTCGGGTGGTCAGGCTCGCTGACTTGGTTGATGCATGTCATCGTATCCCAATTGCATGGATCGATGCTCATGATGCCAATCACTGGATTGTCTGGTCCAGACTCAATTATTTACAGACCGCCGTCATATAGCTGGAATATTTCTGAGTGCAGGGTTAAACAATAAAACAACCAACTGATAACAGCAGTAATATTTTCCTTGAAAGTCCAGTGTGTTTGTGTCTCCATAACATTTGGAAAAGTACCAAGGACCCATTTAGCACCATGGCTTCATTTTGAACTGGGGGGCACGGGTGGCCCAGTCGTCTAAACCTATGATTGTGGGTTCGAATCCCGGTTCACCCCGATTTTGTTTATAGGTTTGTCAGCACCATACCCGTGCTCGTGGGTTTCACCGAAGTGGTAAACGTCGGGGACCTGCATCACTTCGGGCCTTCCTCCCACATAAAGCTGACACGCCACGATATAACTGGAATACTGTTAAAAGTGGCGTTAAACCCAACTCACTCACCCATTTTGAACTATAGTCATAAGACATGCCGCTAAAATAGCTATCCAGTCGGAATACACCCATGACAAAGTTAGTGATAATATTATGGAAATGGGGACGTCACTTTGAACTGTGATGGTGAATGAGTCGGGGTGATTATCCTTATAGCATTGAGAGATGAACACATAATCAAGGACTCTAATATATATTCTCTGACATTCGATCAAATATGATCCGAAAACAGTAACTTAGGGGTATTTCAGCTTTTCAGTATTCATATGCAAGATGAATGTTTTTTGCAGAGTTGCTATTCAGGAATAAACTTGATGACAAAGTAGTCAATGTTGTCACATGAAACACATGTTTTAAGGTGATAGCTATACATTCATTGGGGAAAAGTGCACTTTACTGGCGCAATTTTCAGATCCAATAAGCGCTGTGGGGGCTCGAACGCGCTTCGCCGGCTCACCGGCTTGGCAAATTGGGTGTTTGATCGTGAAGCAAGTCTCCGGAGAGTGAGGCACGGTAACGGTATAGCGAGACAGCGGTAGCACTATAGCGCGGTAATTGTGTGGATGGTAGAGCTGGAGCTGCGCCCGGTAAACTGCATTGTTGCCATTCATTTTCTCACCTTTGTCAGTACTAAACAATGCTAAAGGGATGTGTATGCACTACGTTCTTCCATCATCTGTGAATACATACAGACAGTTTGTGGTGCTATTGCTATTTTTAACCAACAAGATCCAGCTGGAGCTCTGTCCAATGAGGGCTTAGTTTACATTGCCAAGGGGCGGTGGGGTAGCCCGTGGTTAACATGGTTAATGCATTCACGCCGAACACCCGGGTTCGAATCCCAACATGGGCACAATGTGTAAAGCCCATTTCTGGTGTCCCCCGCCGTGATATTGCTGGAATATTGCTAAAAGCGGCGGAAAACCAAACTCACTCACTCACTACATTGCACATTCCATCGTTCAGTCATCTGTTCTCATGAAGCAATGGCAGCGTTCTGCCTGGAGTAGGGTTCTGTTAAACAACCTTATTTCTTCAGGTGACTAAAACCAGACACGCATCACTCAGGTCACTACCATACTGCACGTCAGCCGTGTGTTACCACGGGTGATGAAGGAACGTAGTGCATACAGAACCTGGGAAGTATTGACAATGTTTCCTCATCTAAAGCACCTTTCAATGTTATCTTTGTGGTTTATGTAAAAAGATGAAGTGCAAGAAACTTGAAAGGATGAATCCAGCCATTATTTCCTTGTTGCAGGTGGTGTATTGCAGGATGGGTTTCAAATACGACTTTTCGAATTTGCCAATTTTGAGAACCAATTTGAGGTATGTGCATGCAAGAAATTTATTTTTTGTATCTCCTTTTTTGAGACCTCAGTAGAGATTGCACATAAGAATCAGTATTTGAAGTAAGTGCCTGCCTGTAAGCCCATGGCAGGTTGATCATGTGTTTGGCCCGTAATTTCAGATTTGTATAGGTCCATGCAGATAATTGTGTCAGGTTAATTTGTCTTTTTTTTACCCAACCCCCTGATAACTCTAAACTCGTGTCTGAGGTATGTTGACACCCCCTGCCTCCACGTTTGAGGGGCGGTCCGGTAGCCTAGTGGTTAAAGCGTTCGCTTGTCACGCCGACGACCCGGGTTCGATTCCCGACATGGGTACAATGTGTGAAGCCCATTTCATGTGTCCCCTGCCGTGATATTGCTGGAATATTGCTAAAAGCGGCGTAAAACCATACTCACTCACTCACTTTCCAGGTTTGAACTAGAAACAGATGCAGTAATCATCTGGTCTCTTGTCAGTCCCTCAATCCGTATTTTGTAACTTTGTAACTTGAAATCCGTGAAAGATTTTTCATCCAAACTTGGTACATGTATGAACCAGGGGCCGCAGTGGGGCCGTGGGGTGAGAGGGGAAGGGGGATGGGGAGATCTGTCATCTTCTGACGACTCTTGTTTAAATGAGGGCCTGAAGAGTTTAGTCAGGGCTTGTAGCTTCAGTGTCAGTGGGTCCTGGTGGCAGCCTGGCTTTTGTTTTTATTTTAAACACTGATTAGAATTGGTCCACTTTGCTTCTTGTGCGTGGCGACATATTGGATTAGGAGATCAGACTCTGTGATATGGTTGATAGCGTGTCAATGTACTCCATTGGTGTGGTTCGTTGCTCACAATATCAGTCACTGGTTTGTCTGATCCTAGTTTATTACACATTACTTATCGTGTAGCTGGAATATTGGCGGGTGCAGCAATCAACAACAAACAAAGCTATTTGTTATCATCCATGTGCTTCCCTAGTATCCCCTCGGTTTAGAGGCATCAGTTTGGTGTTCCTGAATTTGTTGGTTAGGGGTCTCTCTCTCAAGATTGGTCTTGATTTTGATCTTTGGTCTGAACACAAAACCTGTGTTCCCGGGTTTCATGAATGGAAAATTGACTTTGACCTGAGTCACTTTTGGCTTTCTTGATATAGCTTAGCGTTGACTGAAATGCTGTTGGTGTTGAACCAATCTCACTTCCTCTACTTCAGCAATGCATCTCCAAGTCTGCCGTGAAGACCAAGTTCGAGCAGCATACTGAGAGGGGCAAGTCCATCACATCAGATGTCCGGGGTATCATGGAGCAAGCATATAACACAAGTCTCCAGCTGAAGTAAGTCCCTCATGGACAATACTTGCACTACACTAGCACAACACTAGCACAACACTAGCACAACACTAGCACAACACTAGCACAACACTAAGACTCACAATACCATCCAGAGAAATGTCTGGAGTGACAGCCTGCAGCCATGGATGTAGTTAGGGTGACAGTAGATCATGGTAGATGGTGAGACATGGATGTAGGTAAGGGTGTCAGTAGATGGTGAGACATGGATGTAGGTTAGGGTGACAGTGGATGGTGGGACATGGATGTAGTTAGGGTGACAGTGGATGGTGAGACATGGATGTAGTTAGTGTGACAGTGGATGGTGAGACATGGATGTAGTTAGGGTGACAGTGGATGGTGAGACATGGATGTAGTTAGTGTGACAGTGGATGGTGAGACATGGATGTAGTTAGTGTGACCGTGGATGGTGGGACATGGATGTAGTTAGTGTGACCGTGGATGGTGAGACATGAATGTAGTTAGTGTGACAGTGGATGGTGGGACATGGATGTAGGTTAGGATGACAGTTGATGGTGAGACATGGATGTAGTTAGGGTGACAGTGGATGGTGGGACATGGATGTAGTTAGTGTGACAGTGGATGGTGAGACATGAATGTAGTTAGTGTGACAGTGGATGGTGGGACATGGATGTAGGTTAGGATGACAGTTGATGGTGAGACATGGATGTAGTTAGGGTGACAGTGGATGGTGGGACATGGATGTAGTTAGTGTGACAGTGGATGGTGAGACATGGATGTAGGTTAACGTGACAGTAGATGGTGAGACATGGATGTAGTTAGGGTGACAGTGGATGGTGGGACATGGATGTAGTTAGGGTGACCGTGGATGGTGAGACATGGATGTAGTTAGGGTGACAGTGGATGGTGAGACATGGATGTAGTTAGTGTGACAGTTGATGGTGAGACATGGATGTAGTTAGGGTGACAGTGGATGGTGAGACATGGATGTAGTTAGGGTGACAGTGGATGGTGAGACATGGATGTAGTTAGGGTGACAGTGGATGGTGAGACATGGATGTAGTTAGTGTGACAGTGGATGGTGGGACATGGATGTAGGTTAGGATGACAGTTGATGGTTTGACATGGATGTAGTTAGGGTGACAGTGGATGGTGAGACATGGATGTAGTTAGTGTGACAGTGGATGGTGGGACATGGATGTAGTTAGTGTGACAGTGGATGGTGAGACATGGATGTAGTTAGGGTGACAGTGGATGGTGAGACATGGATGTAGTTAGTGTGACAGTGGATGGTGAGACATGGATATAGTTAGGGTGACAGTAGAGTGTGAGACATGGATGTAGTTAGTGTGACAGTAGATGGTGAGACATGGATGTAGTTAGTGTGACAGTGGATGGTGGGACATGGATGTAGGTTAGGGTGACAGTGGATGGTGAGACATGGATGTAGTCAGGGTGACAGTGGATGGTGAGACATGGATGTAGTTAGTGTGACAGTGGATGGTGAGACATGGATGTAGTTAGGGTGACAGTGGATGGTGAGACATGGATGTAGTTAGTGTGACAGTGGATGGTGAGACATGGATGTAGTTAGTGTGACCGTGGATGGTGGGACATGGATGTAGTTAGTGTGACCGTGGATGGTGAGACATGAATGTAGTTAGTGTGACAGTGGATGGTGGGACATGGATGTAGGTTAGGATGACAGTTGATGGTGAGACATGGATGTAGTTAGGGTGACAGTGGATGGTGGGACATGGATGTAGTTAGTGTGACAGTGGATGGTGAGACATGAATGTAGTTAGTGTGACAGTGGATGGTGGGACATGGATGTAGGTTAGGATGACAGTTGATGGTGAGACATGGATGTAGTTAGGGTGACAGTGGATGGTGGGACATGGATGTAGTTAGGGTGACAGTGGATGGTGAGACATGGATGTAGTTAGGGTGACAGTGGATGGTGAGACATGGATGTAGTTAGTGTGACAGTGGATGGTGGGACATGGATGTAGGTTAGGATGACAGTTGATGGTTTGACATGGATGTAGTTAGGGTGACAGTGGATGGTGAGACATGGATGTAGTTAGTGTGACAGTGGATGGTGGGACATGGATGTAGTTAGTGTGACAGTGGATGGTGAGACATGGATGTAGTTAGGGTGACAGTGGATGGTGAGACATGGATGTAGGTTAGTGTGACAGTGGATGGTGAGACATGGATGTAGTTAGGGTGACAGTGGATGGTGAGACATGAATGTAGTTAGTGTGACAGTTGATGGTGAGACATGGATGTAGTTAGTGTGACAGTGGATGGTGAGACATGGATGTAGTTAGGGTGACAGTGGATGGTGAGACATGGATGTAGTTAGTGTGACAGTGGATGGTGAGACATGGATGTAGTTAGGGTGACAGTGGATGGTGAGACATGGATGTAGTTAGGGTGACAGTGGATGGTGAGACATGGATGTAGGTTAACGTGACAGTGGATGGTGAGACGTGGATGTAGGTTAGGGTGACAGTGGATGGTGAGACATGGATGTAGTTAGGGTGACAGTAGATGGTGAGACATGGATGTAGTTAGTGTGACAGTAGATGGTGAGATGTGAATGTAGTTAGTGTGACAGTAGATGGTGAGACATGGATGTAGGTAAGGATGACAGTGGATCGTGAGACGTGGATGTAGTTAGGGTGACAGTGGATGGTGAGACATGGATGTAGTTAGGGTGACAGTGGATGGTGGGACATGGATGTAGGTTAGGGTGACAGTTGATGGTGAGACATGGATGTAGTTAGGGTGACAGTAGATGGTGAGATGTGAATGTAGTTAGTGTGACAGTAGATGGTGAGACATGGATGTAGGTAAGGATGACAGTGGATGGTGAGACATGGATGTAGGTTAGGGTGACAGTGGATGGTGAGATATGGATGTTGTTAGGGTGTCAGTGGATGGTGAGACATGGATGTAGGTTAGGGTGACAGTGGATGGTGAGACATGGATGTAGTTAGTGTGACAGTGGATGGTGAGACATGGATGTAGTTAGTGTGACCGTGGATGGTGAGACATGGATGTAGTTAGGGTGACCGTGGATGGTGAGACATGGATGTAGTTAGTGTGACAGTAGATGGTGAGACATGGATGTAGTTAGGGTGTCAGTGGATGGTGAGACATGGATGTAGGTTAGGGTGACAGTGGATGGTGAGACATGGATGTAGTTAGGGTGACAGTAGATGGTGAGACATGGATGTAGTTAGGGTGTCAGTGGATGGTGAGACATGGATGTAGGTAAGGGTGTCAGTAGATGGTGAGACATGGATGTAGTTAGTGTGACAGTGGATGGTGGGACATGGATGTAGTTAGGGTGACAGTGGATGGTGAGACATGGATGTAGTTGGGGTGTCAGTGGATGGTGAGACATGGATGTAGGTTAGGGTGACAGTTGATGGTGAGACATGGATGTAGGTTAGGGTGACAGTGGATGGTGAGACATGGATGTAGTTAGTGTGACAGTGGATGGTGAGACATGGATGTAGTTAGTGTGACAGTTGATGGTGAGACATGGATGTAGTTAGGGTGACAGTGGATGGTGAGACATGGATGTAGGTTAGGGTGACAGTTGATGGTGAGACATGGATGTAGGTTAGGGTGACAGTGGATGGTGAGACATGAATGTAGTTAGTGTGACAGTGGATGGTGGGACATGGATGTAGGTTAGGATGACAGTTGATGGTGAGACATGGATGTAGTTAGGGTGACAGTGGATGGTGAGACATGGATGTAGTTAGTGTGACCGTGGATGGTGGGACATGGATGTAGTTAGTGTGACCGTGGATGGTGAGACATGGATGTAGTTAGGGTGACAGTGGATGGTGAGACATGGATGTAGTTAGTGTGACAGTTGATGGTGAGACATGGATGTAGTTAGGGTGACAGTGGATGGTGAGACATGGATGTAGTTAGTGTGACAGTGGATGGTGGGACATGGATGTAGTTAGGGTGACAGTGGATGGTGAGACATGGATGTAGGTTAGGGTGACAGTGGATGGTGAGACATGGATGTAGGTTAGGGTGACAGTGGATGGTGGAACTGTGGTCAGCATGATGGTTCCTCTGTCTCCAGGACTGACCAGGAAGTGTCGCGGCAGGAGCGAGGGGATGAGCTGGAGTACCTGGTGAAGCAGCTGAACCTGCTGACCAGTGAGGTGAAGGACAAGATCAAGGCCATGGTAGAAGAGGTGGAGAGGAAGGTGAGGGTCCTGCAGTACTTGCGGTCGCTACCCAGTGGGGTTAGAATAGGCCCCACCTCGGTCGGGTTGAATGGGATGCTACCCCACCCCGTTGGGTAAGAATAAGTCCAACCTCAGTAGGGTTGAATGGGCCCCACCCTGTTGGGTTAGAATAGGCCCCACCACAGTAGGGTTGAATGGGCCCCACCCTGTTGGGTTAGAATAGGTCCCACGTCAGTAGGGTTGAATGGGATGCTACCCCAAGGGGTTAGTATAGGCCCCACCTCGGTCAGGTTGAATGGGATGCTACCCAGTGGGGTTAGTATAGGCCCCACCTCTGTCGGGTTGAATGGGATGCTGCCCCGTGGGGTTAGTATAGGCCCCACCTCGGTCAGGTTGAATGGGATGCTACCCAGTGGGGTTAGAATAGGCCCCACCTCGGTCGGGTTGAATGGGATGCTACCCAGTGGGGTTAGAATAGGCCCCACCTCAGTCGGGTTGAATGGGATGCTACCCAGTGGGGTTAGAATAGGCCCCACCTCGGTCGGGTTGAATGGGATGCTACCCAGTGGGGTTAGAATAGGCCCCACCTCGGTCGGGTTGAATGGGATGCTACCCAGTGGGGTTAGAATAGGCCCCACCTCAGTCGGGTTGAATGGGATGCTACCCAGTGGGGTTAGTATAGGCCCCACCTCGGTCGGGTTGAATGGGATGCTACCCAGTGGGGTTAGAATAGGCCCCACCTCGGTCGGGTTGAATGGGATGCTACCCAGTGGGGTTAGAATAGGCCCCACCTCGGTCGGGTTGAATGGGATGCTACCCCATGGGGTTAGAATAGGCCCCACCCTGTTGGCTTAGAATTATTCCCTCCTCGGTCGGGTTGAATGGGCCGCTATCCCGATGGGTTGGACTAGGTCCCACTTCAGTAGGGTTGAATGGGCTGCTACCCACCCTAGTAGGGTTGACTTGGCCACTACCATGTGAGGTTGGAATAGGAGAGAAGTACTGTTAAAAAAATACTTGTTGACTCTCAGTATTTGGTCCCCAGCACTCCATTGCTTATTTTAATCTTTAATCTTATTTTAATCTAATCTTTAATCATTGCATCTTAATTTGTACAGGTTGTCAGGCTTGGCTGGTCGTGTGTTATCATACCCTGGTGGCGAGGGAGTTTGCTCAGAATAATATAAATACCAACCACTGATTTGTCTGCCGCAGATTCCAATATATACAGGCCTTCTTAATAAAGAAGTTATACCGCTGACTTGGCATAAACAACATTTAATCAGTGAAAGTTTTTGAAACATTATACTCTGGAACTGAAACCTGCAACCTTCACTTTCCATGTATGTTGTCCAAACAAAATAACTCTCCTCCTCGTTCACAGGTTGGCACGGCGCTGAGTGATGAGATCCGGCGACTGTCGCTCCTGGTGGAGGAGTACGACCACCCCTTCCACCCCGACAACGTCACGCTCAAGCACTACAAGAAGGTGAGTGAATCAATCAGTCATACACACAGGAGTGTTCCCACCCAAACAGGGAGTGCTCAGGTTCTCCGTGCAGTAACTGTGGCCATAATAAATTAATTATTAAATTTGGATTCCTGACTACCAAACACCCCACCTCACGTTCTAACATCACTACCTGTGACGAAGAAATTTACTGTCTGTTTTTTCTTCCTTCTTTTATTATTGAAATAGGGGCGGTCGGGTAGCCTAGTGGTTAAAGCGTTCGCTAGTCACGCCGACATGGGTACAATGTGTGAAGCCCGTTTCTGGTGTCCCCCGCATGATATTGCGGGAACATTGCTTAAAGCGGCGTAAAATCAAACTCACTCACTCACTCACTTGGTGAAATACACCATTTACTCAGTCCTTCCAAACATTTATCATTCATGATAATCACATTTGTCAACACCTAATGTCCACAGATAGCGACAATTTGCTTTAAAAAAATGAAAAATGAAATGCCATCGCACATATCTTTAAAATAATTTGGATCAAATCTAATAGTCAATTTGTTGTGGCCTAATGGTATCTGATAATCATGATACTACTCAACTGTTCATAAGGATATGTAGATGTGTCTATTCTATATTAATATATATATTATAGAATCAGTTTTATGGATAATGGCGAGACAAACAAATATCCCCATCAGAAGTGGAGTGGTATGGCAGACGCACAACAACCCTCATATTGCATGTCCGTAAATGCCATGCAGTATGCATGCTGTCATCTTCCCGAGGCAAGAGAGTTGACTGACTATAAACGTCCAGTTTCCACCCTTGCTGAACTAGGCTGGTATTATGGAGTTAGACTTTGGCTGGACTAACGAGTCTATGCATTGTCAAATTAAAATTGCGTAATGAAATCTAAATCCGGTTCGTAAACTGTCCTGAGATTTCGGTCGATTGCAGGATTTGTAAAGCATGTGCACCGCAAACTTGGGGTCAGCAGATTTTTTTCAGATCATTTCATTTTTTTTATCAAGGTGCTCACGTGATTTGGTGCTTTCGTGATGTAAGATCCGTTTTATCACAAAATAGATCTTGATTATTGATCAGATCGTCTTGACTGGGCGCCACCATTTTGTTTGAAGTAAATGCAAGTGATATGAGGGGTGGAATCTGATTGGTCAATAGGAAAGGCATAGAAGGGACATAACTCCAATCGAGCCCAGGAATTCCAGCATTCCTCTTGCCTCGGGAAGATGACATGCTGTAGTTTTGGAGGGAGAAGAACACCAAGTTCTCGCCTCGTTACTTTCGTATTTTGAAGTTTGATATGACCAGTGTCTACATTTGGCATCCAAGACATTATGTTAGGTTATTGTGTGACTACTTCATGTCAGTTCCTTCATTGAAACAGTTGTTTCAAAATTCAAATAATATTTCTTTTTGATTTATGTTTTGAAAACTTAGCTTCAGCCTCGTACAATAATATGCTTTGTTGTTTTAACTAGGTAACCATGGTAACACTCATCAATTTTCTAAGACCTGATTTTCATTGTTTTGGAATTGGGAATTTAAAGCAATTTTCTCCCAAGACTTCCTGATAAATATTGACCCTTTTGAAAGCTGAGATAAATGATACTGTCACCACCATTTTGTTTGTAGAGCTAGACCCATGTGACGGAGAAGGTAATTCCTTCTTTTCCAGATTTTGGATTGGAAGTTTTTAGGAGGACTGAATTTGGTAATGGTATTAAAAAAGTACTAATGTTTCATGACATTTTTGTATAATTAGATATTCGGGAAACATTAGAAGTTGTCATGTGAAGTGACAACTTTTTATATCATGTTTTGTTGAGGAGACCTGTTTGATTCTATGTTTCACATCTAAACGGGTTATTGACAGACCTTTAAACTAAATAATGGACAAAAAACAGTTTGAAACAAATTGATGTTAGTTCCAACTTTGCTTTGCAAGGATCTCCACACTTATGTTGAGGCGTCACTGTGTCGCAACATGGTCGGGCGATGCACGTCGTCCATCTTGAGGCGCATGGACAACACCGAGGTGTGGATGACAGGTAAGAGAGGTCGGTGTCGTCGTCATGTGACCTCATCATGTGACTTGCGGAGTGCAGTGAGCTCTTAGCGGGAATGCACTGACCCTGCGGTTTGCGACACTTCATGTCAATTTTCATTGTTTCAGATTTGTTTTCTCCTCGAAGCTTGCATGCTTGGTGTTTCATGTCTTAATTTCATCATCACGCTTTACTTTTTTTTTCAGTGCTGGTTCACCATTATGTGTCATTATGTGGTTTTACACAGTTGCCATGGCAACCGAATCATCATGCTCATCTTTATTTTGAATTAATCCGCCATTCCTAATTTCCATGCCGTAATGCCTCAGAGTGAACTAATCACCTGATTGATCAGATTAACGACAGCTTCGTACTAAACTAGCCGTGTCGTGTTTCTTGCAAGCTTATAGTATGCAGTATGGAAACGTTATTGATACCTTCGGGGATTTAGCTAGACCTGCTTAGAGGCCCAAATTTGTCTGCAGGAAATATTTGTAAACATTACCAAATTCACTGAAATTGGAACTAAATGTTTCCCAGTTAATGCTGATGTTTTATCTCACATTTCCAATTTTTATTGGCCAAGTTTAATTTTTATAATCTGTTCGTTTCCCTGAATTTACTGAAGGGATAGATCTACGATGTAATTTTTTTCTGCGGAAGACAAACACGTTTTTATTGTAAATGTGTGGATTGTGTATGTGCTGGTGACGTGCTTCATTCCGATTCGCTTTATAGATGGGGTACATAAATTAGCATCGATTTTTGAAGGCTTGTACAGGGGGAGTGGCCTTATATGTGGGGTCACTTTATAGACGGCGATATATGGTAGTTGACTTGTATTTCACTTATAGCAGGACCAGTATTGAGTTGAGGCCTTAATGCTTAGTTTCACATTATTGCAGGGAATGAAATGATTAGATTTAATGATAAAACACCTCTTTAGGGAAAGACGAACTAAGTAGAGCCAGAAGGTGCTGATGAAAATGTGACTGCAAAAGTCAAAAAATTATCTGGGCATTTGTACCAATTATGTTTCTAGGTTTGTCATGCTTGTGCTCGTGGATTTCACTGAAGTGGTAAACGTCTGAGACCTGCATCACTTTGGGCTTTCCTCCCACATGAAGCTGACACGCCGTGATATAACTGGAATACTGTTAAAAAGCAACGTCACTCACTCACTCACTCCTAGATTTTAGAAAATAAGACCTTTAAGAAATTCTAACCTGACAAGGCTTTTGTTCCCAATTTGCTTGTTAGGGGTGCTTAGTTGGAAATCTGAGATAAATCTCTGCATTAGTATACATAGTATAGTTCTAGACTGGCCAGGGGTTGAGTTTTACGTCAAATCACTACTTGCCTAGATGAGCATGATGGTTCTACATGGTCTCATCTTCTAGTTGCCATACTCTCCCATAGTAATCCACCTTGGAGTCACAAACAGGCTTCTGTTCCATGTTCTCATCTCAGTGTCCGTGTATTAAGTCATTTTCAAAAGCAACTGACCAGAAATGGTTTCAAGGGCTTCTTCAACATTACCAAAACAAAGAAGGTTTTTTTCTAGATAAAACAAGGTATGGGAACACAAAAGTAGCTTCTTGAAACAGTCTTCTAATTCTGGCTTTTTTTACCAAAATGTTTTTTTTTAGAAATTAACTGGGACCTCTTTGCACTAAGGGACCTTTGCACCACAATGATCATAACACCATATTTTAACCATTAACGTATGATACACATAGATTGTCGTGTGGAACCGTTCCCTGAGTTGCTTTGAATTAAAAAGTGAAGCCCATTTCTAATGTCCATTGTTATTGCTGCTGAATACTTACTTCCTTACTCACTCGCTCACTCACTCAGAACGTAACATGGAACATGTGACAGCGTGATTGTTGACTCCCCCGCCCCCCTATCGTCCCCCCCTCTCTCCCCCCATTGTATCACGTGACTTGTACATATGGTTTCCTACATCAGGAGTTGCATGCACATGTAGAGGAGGGGTTGGGACGTAACCTGCAGGCACGCTGCTCGGCCGCTTTGTTGCAAGGCGTGGAAACTGCTGGAACGGAGATGACAGGTAAAGGGAGACAACTCTGACAACTGACAGGAGATACTGCAGTCTTTTCATTCACAGTGTTGCAAGTTGCATGAACACGATCAGCTTTGTCTGATGTTGGTAGAAGATCCTGTAGGACTAGGTTATTTTTCTAAATACAAGTATGTTGCACTACCCTCAGTTTCTGTCATCATTTCATGACTTAAGACGTTACAGGATTGGGGAATGTGTTTATATGGTTTATGTAGGCATATCGATGAATTTTTTTGGCTGGTGGGCAACATGTGAAAATTGATTGAGATCAAGAATTTAATGTTTAGTGATGTTTGTTGTTTAAAGCCTCACTCTGCAATATTCATGCTACACAACAGCGTTCTGTAAATAATTGAGTTTGGACTGGACACACCAGTGATTGACATCATGAGCATCGATCCACACATTGGAAATTTTGCGTCAGTCATGACAACAGCCGAAATGCCTTGAAGTGGTAGTTTTATGTGGGGTCAGGTCTAAATCTCTGATTGCTCTGATGTGAAGAAAGACGGTTAATGACAGTGTTAGGGGGTGATTTCCACATTGAAACAATATGTCAACCAAGAAATCTGTAAGTAAAAGAATTTAGTGTGAAACCAACAAATGGTATACAGTCAACAATTGTATTACACAAATAACTAGGTTTACACAGCTATTACCATGGCAGTACACAAGAGAGTGGTAGTACAATATTCAATGCCAGTATCACATACCCCGTACATAAAATGATGGTCGCGGTGATGTTGAGTGATAATAGTATTTGCCTAGTCGCAATAGTGGTCAAGCTTCCAATGTAGGCCTAGGCTGGAAATCCGGGGTGATAAGTGATCTTCACATGAAAGCTGGTCTTGATGTAATGTCAGATGAAATGTGAGATGAGACGAGCCCGCTCCATTTATATAGTCTAGCCAGGTTCCAACCATTTCCACACAGTCACATCACAGAATATTCCCCAAGTGTACAGATAATTCGAGCATCTAAGTATAATAGCTTCCTCACCACTGCTTACATTAAATAGAGCCCATTAAATAGAACCACATTCCTGGCAACTAATCATTGTCCAAATACAATGCAATGAACTTTTACTGAATCTCAACGGAAACAGTTACAATCATTGTTTAAAATTAAATTACACTGCGATATAGCAACTGTAAAAGAGTTTTTTTGATGAATGGAAAGTTTCACTGCATCACATTGAACTAATTGCATGGACTTTGAACATTACACTTGCATGGTAGACTGTTTGTGAAGTGGTGGAGAGGCAGCCAGTGTATGACAGCATGTGCGCACTGGATTAATACTGAAATATACATCATTATGGATTGTAGACTTTGCTGTCTGCTTAAACAGCATTAATATCTAACCACATATGGGGCGGTCGGGTAGCCTAGTGGTTGAAGCTTTCGCTCGTCACGCCGAAGACCCGGGTTCGATTCCCGACATGGGTACAATGTGTGAAGCCCATTTCTGGTGTCACCCTCCGTGATATTGCTGGAATATTGCTAAAAGCGGCGTTAAACCAAACTGGGAAATTCTAACCACATATGGGCTAGCACAAGTGTCCTGGATGTGCATTATTCACTGCAGTAGGGTTCATTTTTATGTGATGACTGCTTTTCATCAGTGAAAAATGATATATGAAAAGAAAAAGGCTACAATGGGTAACGCTGCAGAATCTGCTGGGGCACAGGGGTCCTGGTTAATTGTTGTCTGACTCCCATCCAGCACCCACTTGCACAAAGTGATCTTAGCGCTAAGATGATTGTAACTCCCATACTTTAACATTGGCTTACAATAGTCTTAGCGCTAAGATTGTTCTGTTCTGTGCAAGTGGGTCCAGGTTGTCTGCTGGTCAATATGTAACCATTTTACCTGCCATTTTGCACTCACTCACTCACTCACTCACTCACTCACTCACTGACAGTAACTGGAGCTTAGGTGATAATAATAACTCACTCTCACGCAGGCACACATTTACACGCACACCAAATGCATGCACACCAAATGCACGCACGCACACACAGAATTATATTTACAACTCCCTGGTTGTCTCACGACTATGCTTGTCGTAAGAGGCGACTCACGGGATCGGGTGGTCAGGCTCGCTGACTTGGTCGATGCATGTCATCGATCCCAATTGTGTGGATCGATGCTCATGATGTCAATCACTGGATTGTCTGGTCCAGATTATTTACAGACCGCCGTCATACAGCTGGAATATTGCTGATTGTGGCGTTAAACAACAACAAACAAACAAACAAACAAACCCTGGTTGTCTAAAGCTGTGTCAACTCATCAGAAGCGTTTGTGTGTCTGAGGCTGCTGCTTCTGCCAGGTAAACATTGTCAACACCACACAAGCTTGTACACTCTCCATTCCTCAAGCACAGTGACTGTGCAGTGTAATAGTAATGCATGTCTATTAAAGCCATGTATAACTCACAAATGTAGAATGAGCCCACATCCGTTCAAAATTTTGCCTGAACCCATGAAAATCTGTTTTAGAATAGGTCTTCAGCAATCCATGCTTGCTGTTACAGGCGACTATGTTGTCCTAAGAGGTGACTAACGGGATCGGGTGGTCAGGCTTGCTGACTTGGTTGATGCATGTCATCGTATCCCAAATGCATGGATCAATGCTCATGATGTCAATCACTGGATTGTTTGATCCTGACTTGATTATTTACAGACCGCCGTCATATAGCTGGAATATTGCTGAGTGATACTTCAAACAAATCAAACAAATCGAACAAATAAACCAACCAACCACTGCCTGAGTTGAATCAATGTGTGGAGCTTTGGCTACAAGGCGGTCAGTCGTTCGGTCGGTCGGTCGGTCGGTCGGTCGGTCGGTCGGTCGGTCGGTCACATGTGTTGCACAATAAATGCTGGTGATGTAATCTGAGCACTCGTTCATCTCCCTGGAACCAGGCTGTGTCCTGATTCATTGGTTAATTATAGCGACTGTCTGCACTGCACAGCAGCTGTTTGTATTGATGGGGGATGGGGCTGTTACAAACCTGTGAGGTATTAACGATGTGCACATCATCACTTCGCCAGTTTCCAGCTCTGCTTTTAGTCTGTGGTATTCAGTGGCCTTGTCTTTTCACGTCATGTTGTATTTTTGCATGTTAGTATATTCTTAGAACTTTATAGTTTTTTGTTATGTGTAGACAGTATTTTTCTTTTGTGAGTAATAATATGCTTTTTTTATTAACCTTTCCAAAAAATTTGATTGAATTACGTCTTCATTCACAGCTGTAGTCTAGGCAAATATTTCCTTACAAGCTTGGTGTCCCTTCTTGAAACAACTCAATCTTCAATAGTTAATAATTATAATAATAATAATAAATGGATATTTGTAATGCACTAGAAACGATCCGCTGACGCATGCTCAAAGCGCTATCATCATAATTACACTGGTCAATTGATCAGTTTGCACACAACTTTATTTCTCCCTGGGGAGCATGCAGTACAATAGGATGCAGGGGTTCTTGAGCGAATCAGCTTTATAAAACCTTGTCATTTTTTTCTTAACAGAACACATCTTTGAATGGCATTTAAAAGTGATGCACATAAGGAAGCAAATTAATGGATGTCAACTTCTTTGTTATGAGGAACCCAAGTTTTCGAATTATATATTTACTCCTTCATTGGGAGTGATGAAGCAGTATGTATATACTCCGAAGCCTTGTGTTCCTCACCATAAAGAAGTTCTTCCATTTCTTCCTTAAAAGAGGGCAGGGGCACGGGTGGCCCAGTCATCTAAGGCGCCACAATTCGCTGTACAGAGTTGCGTCCCTTGGACATGCCAGAAACCTATGATTGTGGGTTCGAATCCCGATTCGCCCCGATAATGTTTCTAGGTATGTCAGCACCATACGCGTGCTCGTGGGTTTCACCGAAGTCACTTCGGGCTATCCTCCCACATTAAGCTGACAAGCCGTGATATAACTGGAATACTGTTAAAAGCGGCGTTAAACCCAACTCACTCACTTATTCTAGGATGTTATGCATAGACTATTACATGTTTTCACATTCATTATTATATAAGCAGATTTATAGGAAGTGAAATGAAAATAGCTGTTGTAACTTTTGGCGCATCTTCGTCATTACCATGGAACTGTTTTCATTTAATGCATCAAGGTTCAGACAACCAGAATCACCCTTATTTTCACCAGTGATGTTTACTCTTTTTCAATCTTTTTTTATTATCTAAAATCATTAAAATCAAAGCGATTTTTATTTCAAAAGGTAAAGCATTGTGCAATATTTACTCTACCAAATAATATGAATAATATTAATAACATCCTCTTTTGGAACCAATTAATTAACAGTTAAATCATGAATCATTATCATTGTCATCAAGTTGCTTTGTTTCTGTTGACTTGTAGACCGACTGTCAGAAATTCTCCCAGAAGAGACGAGACAAGTCCTGTATAATCTCATTCCAAAGAGAGATTTTGAGATTGCTTATAGACTTGACTGTCGCAACCTTTGTGCTGACTTTAAAGAGGACATAGACTTCAAGTTCTCCCTCGGACCGACCAGCCTCATTCAGAGGCTCCTTGGAGGAAAAAGTGCTAGGTCAGCTCTAATGGGGACAGCGGGCAGTGTAAGTGGATTTATGGAGTTTATTCATTCCAAGTTGTCTATGAGGAAACTGCAACCTTTGTTTACGCCAGGATGCTTTCTCCAGCTTCATAGAAAGTTGTTGTGTGACAATTGGAAACATTGTGTAGGGTTGGGTGTGTGGAATAATTTAGTACTTCATGTGCTTGCTCGTCATGCACAAGGTCCAGGTTAAAATTCTATGGGTACAATATGTACCATATATACAAGTCGATTTCTGGACTCCTGTGGACACGTGAGGAACCGGGGTAGAATAGGTCTTCAGCAACCCATGCTTGCCGTAAAAGGCGACTATGCTTGTCGTAAGAACCGACTAACGGGATCAGGTGGTCAGGCTCGCTGACTTGGTTGATGCATGTCTTCGATCCTAATTGCGTGGATGGATGCTCATGAAATCAATCACTGGATTGTCTGGTCCAGACTCGATTATTTACAGACCACCGTCACATAGCTGGAATATTGCTGAGTGCGGCTTTAAACAACAAAACAACCCCAACAGTGATATTGGTGGAATATTGCTAACCGTGGCATAATCCCACTCTCACTCACTCACACACCACAGGATATGACATTAAATTGTTTGAATGATATCCTTGCAGAAATGATGGACCTGAGAATCTAGGTGTTATTGCATCACCTTGTTAAGCATTTAAAAAAGAGTTGAAATGAAATTTACTAACTGCCTTTCCCGCTTTGCAACAGTCAAAGTCGTACCTATTATTTTACTTTGACAGGAAATTGTTCGTTAATTTGTGAAAGACGTTTGACCAACATGAAAATGTCTGTTAGAACATGAATGAATATGTTAGAATTGTTCAAACCATTTTCTTATTTCCCTGACCACCATAGTTGGGACGGACACCAAATTCCAACCAAGCAGACCGGTCCCAGCAAGATGAGATGCTGGCGTCATTACTTACCACATTTGTGTCGTTGTCGTCGCGGACGACATTGGGAGCTGTTGCTGTAGCAGGAGTGGTGAGTCTTGTGTTCCAGGGAGGTAGTGTAGCAATCAGTAGTGCCCTCACTCATACTACACACACCATCCCAATTGCGTGGATCGATGCTCATGACGTTAATCACTGGATTGCCTGGTCCATAATCAATTACTTACAGACTGCCGTCATATAACTGGAGGGGGCACAGGTGGCCCTGTCGTCTAAGGCGCCGTGATTTCGCTGTGCAGAGTTGCGTCCCTTGGGCACGCCAGAAACCTATGATTGTGGGTTCGAATCCTGGTTCGCCCCAATTATGTTTCTAGGTTTGTCAGCACCATACCCGTTCTCGTGGGTTTCACCGAAGTGGTAAACGTCTGAGACCTGCATCACTTCGGGCTTTCCTCCCACATTAAGCTGACACGCCGTGATATAACTGGAATACTGTTAAAAAGCGGCGCTAAACCCAACTCACTCACTCACTCACTCACTCATATAGCTGGAATATTGTTGAATGTGACGTTAAAAAACAAACAAATTAAACAAACACTCTTGCTATATTTTTGCAGTGATGTTAATTGAAACTAAATATTCGAATCGTAAACGTGAATGGCAGGGGGTTATTGAGTCCGAGTACTCTGTGATGCAAACATTTACACTGTTTTTGTAGAGATTTCCCAGTGCTATTTGGTTGCACTCAAAGAAGAGGTATATGCAGGAAGAAATTGTTTTTTAATTGGACAGGCTATAAAGAGCTTCATATTTTAAAAATGTGCATCATAGGAATATGCACTGAGATGCTATTCTTGTGTGTCAGTTGACGAAGGCCGCTGGATGGCGTGTGATCGCCGTGTCGGCAGCGCTGTACGGCCTGCTGTACCTGTACGAGAGACTCACCTGGACGAGCAAGGCCAAGGAGAGGGCCTTCAAGCAGCAGTATGTGGAGTACGCCAGCAGCAAGCTGAAACTCATTGTGGATCTCACCAGCTCCAACTGTAGCCACCAGGTTCAGCAGTGAGTAGTCTTTGTCTCCTCAACCCATTGTTGCTCTTCTGTGAGTAGTCTTTGTCTCCTCAACCCATAGTTGCTCTTCAGTGTGTAGTCTTGTCTCTTCAACCCATTGTTGCTCTTCAGTGAGTAGTCTTGTCTCCTCAACCCATTGTTGCTCTTCAGTGTGTAGTCTTTGTCTCCTCAACCCATTGTTGCTCTTCTGTGAGTAGTCTTTGTCTCTTCAACCCATTGTTGCTCTTCCGTGAGTAGTCTTTTTCTCCTCAACCCATTGTTGCTCTTCTGTGAGTAGTCTTTGTCTCTTTAACCCATTGTTGCTCTTCCGTGAGTAGTCTCTTTCTCCTCAACCCATTGTTGCTCTTCAGTGAGTAGTCTTTGTCTCTTGAACCCATTGTTGCTCTTCCGTGTGTAGTCTTTGTCTCCTCAACCCATTGTTGCTCTTACGTGAGTAGTCTTTTTCTCCTCAACCCATAGTTGCTCTTCTGTGAGTAGTGTTTTTCTCCTCAACCCATTGTTGCTCTTCCGTGAGTAGTCTTTGTCTCTTCAACCCATTGTTGCTCTTCTGTGTGTAGTCTTTGTCTCCTCAACCCATTGTTGCTCTTCAGTGAGTAGTCTTTGTCTCCTTAACCCATTGTTGCCTCCGCTCGTCACACTGAAAACCCTGGTTCGATTCCCGACATTGGTACAATGTGTGAAGCCCATTTCTGGTGTCCCCCGCCATAATATTGTTGTAATATTGCTAAAAGCGGCGTAAAATAAAACTCACTCACTTGGAGTGAATAGTGTTTGTGTTGTTCCACTGAGTTGTCTTTTCTCCTCATGTGGCTGTTTTCTCCTTTTGGCACTGTGAGGTTGTTCCCGGTGTCGGTACTTATGTATACACAATACTTGAATCATCAGTTTGTGAGATCGCGATACGCTATAAATAGAACACGAACTAATAGAATTGGCAGAAGTAGCACAGCGCCAACTGTAAGCATGGAAGAACACAAGGATGTGGTAGCTGAGGATGTGCACACTAACTGTGACATTTAATAACCATCCCTTCATTTATAACTGTTTTGTTCTTGAGGTTTTCTTTGTTAAAGTTTTTGAGATAACAATAAATAAATGTATGAAGAAAGAGGTTTTAGAGCTGTATTTCAGTGATTTCATCATTTCTTACTATTTGATTAGGTGAATCATGATACCAGTAGTATCGTCAGACCGTATCGTGATACGAATCGTACCGCAAGATACCAGGTGATACTCAACGGTAGTAAATAGCCTATAGTAAATAGCCAATAGATCCCGGACCTGTGTGTGTTGTTACTGTAGTGCACATGTGTGTTGCAGGGAGCTGTCCTCTACCTTTGCGCGCCTGTGTCACCAGGCAGACAGCTCCAAGAAACAGCTGCAGGAGGATCTGAAGCAGCTGGACGTCACCATCTCACAGCTGAAGGACATCTCGGGCAAGTCCAAATCTCTGAGGTGAGTGTTGACTTTGTAGGATAGGAAACCCTCAGCCCCTAGACCGTAGGATGGAATAGTGTGACCGTATCTCAGCCCAAGGGCGTTTCTAGCAAGTCAAAGTCTTTAAGGTAACTCTGGTGACCATCTCACAGCTGAAGGACATCTCGGGCAAGTCCAAATCTCTGAGGTGAGTGTTGACTTTGTAGGATAGGAAAACCTCAGCCCCTTGACCGTAGGATGGAATAGCATGACCATATCTCAGCCCAAGGGCATTTGTAGCAAGTCAAAGTCTTTAAGGTAACTCTGGTGACCATCTCACAGCTGAAGGACATCTCGGGCAAGTCCAAATCTCTGAGGTGAGTGTTGACTTTGTAGGATAGGAAACCCTCAGCCCCTAGACCGTAGGATGGAATAGTGTGACCGTATCTCAGCCCAAGGGCGTTTCTAGCAAGTCAAAGTCTTTAAGGTAACTCTGGTGACCATCTCACAGCTGAAGGACATCTCGGGCAAGTCCAAATCTCTGAGGTGAGTGTTGACTTTGTAGGATAGGAAAACCTCAGCCCCTTGACCGTAGGATGGAATAGCATGACCATATCTCAGCCCAAGGGCATTTGTAGCAAGTCAAAGTCTTTAAGGTAACTCTGGTGACCATCTCACAGCTGAAGGACATCTCGGGCAAGTCCAAATCTCTGAGGTGAGTGTTGACTTTGTAGGATAGGAAACCCTCAGCCCCTAGACCGTAGGATGGAATAGCGTGACCATATCTCAGCCCAAGGGCATTTCTAGCATTTCTAGCAAGTCAAGGGTTGGTGGTGGGGTCTCTAGGAGTTAAAGCGTTAGCTCGTCACGCCGAAGACCCAGTTCGATTCCCCACATGGGTGCACTGTGTGCAGCTAATTTTCTGGTGTCCCCTGGATGTGATATTGCTGGAATATCGCTAATGTGGCGTAAAACCATGCTCACTCTAGCAAGTCAAAGTCTTTGAGGTAACTCTGGTGACCATCTCACAGCTGAGCCCCTGGAAAGTCCAAATCTAGATATTGTAGGATAGGAAAACCTAAGCCTTTAGTTTGGTGACCACTTTACAGCTGAAGGACCACCTTACAACTTTCTATCAATGAAATATATTTGTGATGCATAAATGTCATGCCATATTTCCATCATTCGATCATACATTAGCCCCGACAAATTAACTTGTATCATTTGCTTGCCCAGAGAAGGATAAGCTACTAAGCCTGAAATTCTGGTGGTTCTCAGGATACATTTAGCATTGGACAAACTGACCTGGGCCGGTGTGCTAGTGCCGCTGTGCATCCCTCCTGTCATGTAGGGCTTTGACGATACACCAACTGAGCGATCCGATTCTCACCCGATACCTTGTTCACGATCTGATACGTATCACGATACCTTGTATGTGCTCTTATCTGTGGTGCATCAGCCATCTTATTCATAGACAGAAGATTATGTACCTGGCACTATGACAATTAACAGTTGGCAGTGTCAAGTATGACACAGTGGATGAAAATATTTACTTTTTCACTACTAATTTCCACTACTAAGTAGTGTTTGGTGTTACAGCCATTAATGTAAACTTTTATGGTATGAATCTTTATTTTCTACTTAGTGTGCAACTGTGATCGATTCTTGTATCGGGAAGTTAAATATCACGATCCACCGATGCATCAGTGTATTGTCCCAGCACTACTGTCATAGCAGATAATATTGTCTATGATAGTAAGCTCTTAACAAATCTTCTCTCATTTTATATTTTTCATTCTCAGGAACAAGGCTGACTGGTTGGACGGAGAACTGAACACATTTGTTGAAAATTTTCTGAAACAATCTAGTGTATGATAAAAGAAATGTAACCTGCTGAACACTTGACAGTCAAGATACTGATACCCAGCTCTCGAGGACCAACATGGAATAGCTGGCTCTCTGAACACTGGACAGTGCAACTGAGAGTGTGGTCAACTCGGGCTGGTGTGAGTACAACTCTGAAAGTTGTCTAAATCTTGGAGACTTTTCAGCCAATGGAAGCTGATCACTGGAAAGCTGATGGTTTTCTTTGAGCCTCTTACAACCCCCAGAATCTTGTACCTTTTACATTTATACATCTGGTACAGATACAAGCTGCTGGAGCAGACACAAGTACAATCCTTAATCCTGGACAAGTACAACAAGTACAATATGTACAACAACTACAATATGTACAACAAGTACAAGTAATAGGACACTGTCTTGTGTTTGTTGTCGGCACAGCTGGACGTTCAAACTGTGGATGGGCAGACCTGAGCTGATACACAAGGACCTACACAGGGGCACGATTAGCTAGGGGGCGGTCGGGTAGCCTAGTGGTTAAAGCGTTCGCTCGTCACGCCGAAGACCCGGGTTCGATTCCCGACATGGGTACAATGTCTGAAGCCGATTTCTGGTGTCCCCCTGCCGTGATATTGCTGGAATATTGCTAAAAGCGGCCTAAAACCATACTCAATAAAAAAAATGATAAGCTAGGACCACCATGGAACATTTGTCGGTGAAAAAGATATCAAAATCATGATCATGATGTGCAAGATAACACACAGATTGTGCTGTAGAAATAGATACATTACTTAATTAATTATTTTGTATCAAACTATCCGAAGGAAAGCAGTTATTCAAAATTAGCTATTATGAGTTTCAGTGAAACCTTCTTAATCTGGACATAAAAACTTCCAGATTAACAATTTTTTGTTGTGTGTAATATTCTTATTATATTATGTAGACATTTACAGAAGTACTCTGAATGCAGCCATCGTAGCGTTACGACTGTGGTAAGCCTATGCTAAAGGAATGGGAGTTACGATCATCTTAGCGCTACGATCACTTTGTGGAACAGGGCCCTGGATTGCTTGTCTAACAGACTGTGAAATTATGAGTAGATTTGTATGACTGGATATGAATATATGACAGTCAGGCTTACAGAGGATGAAGGCAGACCAATTGCTGAACCTAACTTGTGTCACACAAAAGAAACATGTTCATTTTCATTCTATGATGATCCAATGTTAATGCTTCCCTAAGGTGATGATTGGAAAAGAATATATTGACATTTGGATGCTGATTCTAGGCGTCGTGTAATATTGTCTATGAAAGTAAGGGTTTAAACAGTATTCCAGTTATATCACGGTGTGTCAGCTTAATGTGGAGGAAAGCCCAAAGTGATGCAGGTCTTAGATGTTTACCACTTCGGTGAAACCCACGAGCACAGGTATGGTGCTGACAAACCTAGAAACATAATCGGTGCGTACCTGGATTCGAACCTACAATCATAGGTTTGTGGCGTGCCCAAGGGACACAACTCCGCAGAGCAAATTGTGGCGCCTTAGACGACTGGGCCACCCATGCCCCCTCATGTAATAAGACATCCAATGAAATCCAAACTAAGTGCCCCTGGCAGGAAATTGGAAATGTTTTTGGTTGAAGTAGGAGATTTTTTGGAGTTCTTTTGTTCTTATTTTCAGATAATGTAAAATTAATCCTCTTCCTTGTTTTTGGTCTTTTTGTCAGTCGACCAAGCCGTCACACTGGTTATAGCTATAGTTACATGAAATAGGATTTTTTTAATTCCGTTATGTGAATTTTTACTGTCAATTTAAGCAGGATTTTGCAGGATTGTCGGCCTCTGAGCGTCTAGATAAACTCGCTCTGCATGTTAAGTTCACCCTTGAATGCTTTCTGTAGCTATTATTGCTGAGACCTACAAGGTGATTGTTGTGCTGTGACTATTGTTAAGCTGGGAGTTCCCATAGTGGCATTGCTAGGATAGCTTTGTGCAGCTGGGAAATGATCTTGATGCTGACATCGACACAGATGATAATGGAGAAAGTGTTGAGGAGGGAAGGGCGGAAGTGTGTGTGTTTGGAAATAGTTTCTTAATGACAAAATAGGTTGCAACAAATATGCTGGTCCACTGGGCCTATGACAAGTAACAATGGTCAGGACCAGTCCTTTATTCCGACGTCCTAGAAATTATTAATATAGTTAAATATCTGTATCACAGTAAAGAAGAGAGAACACGTATTTTATCATTGTGACTGTTGCCATAAATATGCCATACATTTTGTACAAAGGGCATGTGGCCTGTACTAGTGTACTGAAAAAAGAATTCAAGAATTCAAATGATTAGAAGCAGTAGAAGGTTATGTTAAATCATGCCTGGCTCCATATTTTGTTGCCTTGAAAAGAATGAAAAGACAAGTGTATTAGATATTTGTGATAATAAGTTGTTAAGAAAAAATGAAACTGTTTAAAGATTGATGTTTTAAGTTGTCTAACAAGCATTCTAAGGGACCAGTGTTATTGTCTGTAACTGGCCTGTTGCCCTCCGGAACAAATTGACATTTGAAGTTGTCTTGAACATCTTGAGGCTCTCATCTGTCTGGACTCAATAACTAAAGCACTGTGTAGTGTTATAAAGATACAGTGATCCCTCGCTACAACGCTACCTTCAGGGTCCAAATAATTGATGAGCGTTATAGATGATCAGCGGTTTAACGAAGGTCGAGTCGTAGGTGGTAGATGACCAACAAAACAGTACATGCTCTGCCTACCTCTGTACTGTAGTGTTATAAAGATACTGTAATGTTATAAAGATACTGTAGTATTATAAAGATACTGTAGTGTTATAAAAATACTGTAAAGTTATAAAAATACTGTAATGTTATAAAGATACTGTAATGTTATAAAGATACTGTAGTGTTATAAAGATACTGTAGTGTTATAAAAATACTGTAATGTTATAAAGATACTGTAATGTTATAAAGATACTGTAGTGTTATAAAGATACTGTAATGTTATAAAGATAATGTAGTGTTATAAAGATACTGTAATGTTATAAAGATACTGTAATGTTATAAAGATACTGTAGTGTTATAAAGATACTGTAATGTTATAAAGATAATGTAGTGTTATAAAGATACTGTAGTGTTATAAAGATACTGTAGTGTTATAAAGATACTGTAGTGTTATGAAGGTACTGTAGTGTTATAAGGTACTGCTCTTCAGGTGTCTGTGTATCACAGTGGGAAGTATCTAAGCTTTATGTTTATCATGATACATGCAGTATACAGTAGTACCATGTCTGGCCTGTATCATTACAAGTCTAGCCCTGTGTAAAACCGGGGTTGTTCCAGCAAAAGTAATCACAAACCATATAGCTGTTGGTTACCTGAAGAGAGAGCACCACGTGATGTGAAACAAGTGAAATATAGAAACTATTAACCGTACGCACCTACCAAGAATTAACATACTTCTTGGCCCACAATTGAGCTTATAGACAAAATGACCATGAATTCTTTTATTAAAGTTGATGATTTGCCTGGAAGCTACATAATTTTTTCCGTTGAGTAGATCTTAATGCCATGTGTGAAAGTATTAAGCTAATTTCCCGTTTCAGCAAGAGTTTTCAGTCACGAAAAAGTCCTATTTTTTTTACGTAATTTATCAGTGTCTTATTGCCTGAGACTATCATATCATTTGTTGCATCTGGGAACACATGCATATGCACACACACACACATCTATAAGCTGTTAAACAACCCACTGACAAAGACATCTAGGAGACGTTGAACGCACACGCATGCACATACATCTAGGAGCTGTTAAACGCACATGCACATCTCGGAGAAGTTAATCATTCACGCAGTCATGCACACACATCTGTTAAACAACAAACACACACACATCTAGAAGCCACTAAGAAACACACACACATATGAAAGCCATTAAACAAACAGTACACACACATACAAATGTTGTTCAACACACAAACACAACTTAGAGCCAGAGCAAAGTTCCATGTACATCCATGATATATGAAGATTCAAGTGCCAGTGCAACTAGATTCTATATATACCGTATTCGACGAAATAAGCGCCTCGCTCTAATAAGCACCCACGGTGATATCTGCTAATATATTGGCTAGTGAACAATCCCAATTAGCACCCCTTCCGATTGATTAATGTACACAAGACTTATTTATTTGTGTATAATACACACTTATGTGTTATATGCACCCTTAATTATGGGAAATTAAATTCTTGAAAATATATCTGTCATGACTTTTCTTTTGTATCATTTCAGGCTGTCAGCATAAACCACGAAATATACAATCTTTCAACTCTGTTTTTTTTTTCTAGCCAAAATTATATTCTAATAAGAGCCCCCTATTTCTAATTTTGAGAGCGACCTGGGCGCTTATTACGTCTAATACGGTACATGTATTGCGTACACTGGTAGTGGTGGCTGTTCAACACACACTAGTCAGAGATACCGTTAACATGTTAAAGGCAGTGTAGATATATGGTAACAGTACTGACACAGGTCATCTGGGTTGAGAGTGACAGGTTGAAATTGGTATTCCATTCTCAGTGAGAAAGTTGGCATGATTTACGTTAGATTGCTGTCCCTGAAGGACACCTAACACAGGTTCGAGACAAACAGCATGTGTGACGTGTATTTGAGCTTAGCTTTAGTTTATGATTGAACTTGTTTCAAAGTTGTATTGTAGAAGTGTCACGCAAAACCGAAATCTCAATACTTTGATGAACAACAGCAGCATAATACGAACCTTGGTTTTCTGTCATATATATGCAGTATGTTTATACCTTGTACGAATGAAATGAGATCAGTTATTTTTTATTTTCTTACAGAAGTAATATTATCAAATTTGCCATGATGAAATAAGATGGATTTCTTTATAATCTCTTTCCGACTGATGAAATTCATTTTGTAGATTCATATCGTATTTGAACTGCCTTGCCCCTTTGTTGTTGGTTTTGTAGATTTGACTTGTGAATTTATTTATTGTTATTTTATGTTGTAAATATAACAGAATTGTTTGATTTATTGTCATATGTGGTGCTGCTTGTTTAGTTGTTAAGAACATGCTTGAGTGATGATCAAGAAGAACACTGCAATTTAACGACTTTACTGTTATATTATTAAAATATTATTGAATACTTTCAAAGCTGAGAATGAAAGCTGTGAAGAATGGTATTGACTTGTTTGTGGTATTGATAAGATCCTACAAGCTGGATTCAGTGGTGCTGTTTTCCTTATAATATGTGGATACAACTTGACCAAAAGAGTCGGATGGATGTACTGCCAGGATGTTTACTTGTCCAACAAGGTAGACACAATTTTATGGATAACAACTTCTTAAATAGTGTAAAAAGCGACGTTTCGGTATAGATTCTTATACCGTTGTCAAGCAAGACAACGGTATAAGGATCTATACCGAAATGTCGCATTTTACAGTATTAAAGAAGTTGTTATCCATAAAATTGTGTCTACCTTGTCATCCGTCAACTTCTAAGTAATGCCTATCAAACAAATTTACCTGTCCAGCAGACGACATGCATGGCTTGCAGTCACCATCATGTAGTTGCCTCCGTTGTGTAGTTGCCACCAACGTGTAGTTGCCACCATCGTGTAGTTGCCTCCATCGTGTGCAGCTGAGATGTGAGTGTATCAACCTGCCCTAGTCCTGCTTAGCTTTATTGTCTGGCAAAGTCTGGTGATGTCTACATTACCTTTGACATACTGGTGTTGGTCGGCCTCAGTGGGAGCTAACTGCACATGCTTCTGTGATGTCATGATTTCCAGACTTCATAGACCCCATTGGCCATGCAGAGGCCTTGACATCCCTGTTTGGTTTGGTATTTGAAATATTTTTTGCTTTATTACCATGCCTCCTAGAGGATTGATCAAATAATCATTTTGTGTCTGTAAGGTAATATATTTGC